TTGTCTTTCCTTGCCGGGACACTTCTGCAGAGCACAGCACTCGCAGAAATGTAACCTGGTCACTGTGGAAAGTATTTGAGCAAATGTTTATTGCTTGCTGCCACCAGAATGCTGCAGTTATCTTGTGCCAGACGTGCACAACAAACTGCAGTGAGGAATAGGGAAACTGCTCTAATTTGTTTATTTTATCTCCAGTACCACGGTGCCTCATCGCACTGGCAGGGCTGAGGTCCAAATCTCAACCCTGAACAGTAGTTTTTTTGCTTGTGGTAATTCTCCTGGGGAAAAGGTAGCATCTGTATCCACATAGACAGCTGAGCTGTGTCTGCTTGCTGGCCCTGTGGGGAAATGCAGGCTGTCTGGCTGTATTTCTCCTCCTGCCTCCCTAGGCAGGTCTTGTTTCCTTGTGGGTTTTGCTTGGCATCTCTGCAGCTTGTGCTTTCATCCTGAGTGCCCTGTTCTGTGTATCAGATCCTTCACCACACAAAGCTATAAGGTATCTGCAGCACATGCAGCCAGCGTGATATGTACCTCCATGGAGACTCCTGAGCACTTCTGAAGCTGCTTTTGCTGCTCCCATTCTAAGCAGGGGCTTTTGCTGATTTGATGTGTGCAGTTTTGGGAATCACAAGTGAGCAGCCTAAAGACTGAAGATGTGGGTACTGATATGGGACTGTCAGACCCAGATGTGCCATTTCTGTCTCTGATTTAGCCTATCTGCTTAATATGATCTTGGAAGAAAGAAGAACTGTAACATAGCTCTGTCTTCAGATATATATGCTGCATGTGCATTTTGTCTATGAGGTATTTAAAATGTAACGCATTGGAGATAGATGGTGGAGAAGCAGGGCAGCCTTACATTAGGAAGTGATTTGAATGTCTGGAAATGCAAGCCCTGGATGAGAAATATTAGTGTAGTAACAAATCAGTGTCCATGTTTTCCCTTCAGACAAGTGTAAATGTTAATCAGTAAAGCACACATTGTGTTTTCCGGAGTTATTTTCATTTGATAAATGGTCCGGTGTTGGGACATGGTGAGAATGCTGTGTTCTTCCCTCATTCCCACCCTCTTGGAGTGTAGCTTTATTTCTTGCCTGAAGATCACTAGTGCTTAGGTGGACATCTCTCTTCCTTGTCTTTTTTTCTCCTCATTGTTATCTGAGGCACTCCAGCTCCGATTTTGTTGTTTGATCCAAGCAGAATCGCAGTGATCCTTCCCATAGCTCAGGAGTGCTGCTCATCCCATCACAAGTGCTTTTCTGGTGAAACAGGTTAACTGCTAGGGGGTACTTGTTATTTTTTGCTTTTAACATCTGGATATAGGCACTTTGGGGTTTTTTAACACTTTATTAGAACATACATTTTTTTCTGCTTGGGCCCCTGTGTCCACTCCCAATAGATGGCTCAGCCTTGCCTTTTGTTGTGGAGGTTGCGGTTGGAAGGGTTGGAAAGGACCTTAAAGGTAATCTAGCTCCAATCCCCTGCCTTGGGCACGGACACCTTTCACTAGACTAGGTTGCTCAAAGCCCCATCCTGCTTGATCATAAGCAAGGCTCAGTATTTGATACAAGTATGCATTTTAACCTAGGGATCCCCTTATATTTGTGATTCAGTCGACTTGATTGAAGCTTTTCAATTTATGGATGCTTAAAATCTTGCCAGTGGAGTTGCAGACTGTTGGGAGCTCTCACCCATGGCCTGCTCTGTAATGTGTCAACTTGGGCTTCTTAAATCACTTTCTGTAATTCAGGTGGGCCATGCATTAGAAACCACTGATCTGCTGGGATGAAGTGGCTTCCATAGGACTGTTCTCAGGCTCTCAGCTGTTACCACTCTGAAAACTAGTTAGTCTTTTCTTTGGAAGTGGGATTGAGGCAGTCTGCTCCTCTCTGAAAACAAAACCCTGATCAGGCACTGGGTTGCTGCTGTCACTGCACACAAGAGCAGTTTATGTTAAATGTAACTGATGTTGAAATAAACCACACCTCAGTTCTCAAGTAAAAGTGACCTTTGGCAAGTCTGCATCAAAATAAATAAGGTGTGAGTTTAGTTATTTTGAGTTTCCTTGGAGACAGGCCCTTAGGAACTCCTGCTGCCACTTCTTGTGATGTTTGCTGGTTTAACATAAACAAAACTGAGAAAATTCCCCTCTGTCCACAAAAGAATGAAATTTCACAGAAGCGTGGTTTGTGTAATAGTTTGCCGTGTTCCTTGTGTGTTCTTTAAAGAGATGCTGAGAAGTTGTATCAAGACTGTGGGCCAAATTTTGCATATCATTGCAAAGGGCTGTCTTGAGCACAGTTGAAACTTCCTTAGAAATGAGCATAGATTGGTTCTTTCGGTGACCTCTTCCTGCTTTTATGTAGGGTTATATCATGCTGCTGGAACACATCTCTGCTCCATGGCAGGGGGGTTGGAACTTGATGATCTTAAGGTCCTTTCCAACCCTAACTATTCTGTGAGTCTATGATTCTATTCTCCTCTGATGACTGTTGTTTGGTTTGGGACCCTTGAGTAGCTGTAGTCAGCTGTTGTAAAATACAGCACCCCAAAGGCAATGCTTACATCAGGGTCATTTGCAGGGCAAATTGAATTTCTGGGAGACAGCTGGTTCCCAGAAATAAACCCTTTTAAAATGTCCTGTGATTCATTTAACATCAGATACCAGATTAAAATCTACCCTAATTTTTGTCTGTATTAGCTTTTTGGGATGGAATCCTTTCTGTCATTGATGGGGGGGGGGTGTCTAGAGGAATTGTTCTGCCTTTAAAATCTGTTAATTTTTAAATGAGTCTTTATGGCATACTGTAAAAAGGTAAAGCAGACATTGCTGCAAGAGTTAGTCCATGTTCCTTTACATCCCATTGGGAACAGTGGTGTCTACAATTTTGGGTAGCACAGGAACTGGGGAAGACCTGCATCTGTCCTGTGCAGGCAGGACCTATGTGCATATTTATCTTTAAGTCCATGAGGGTGAAAGGTAGTTATATTTATGTCTCTGTATGGGAGGTCAGGTACAACTCCAATTCTTACAGAATCAGGTGCTGTGATACATGAGGCTGTGGCTGGAGATGTTCCCTTCATCAGGGCCATGTGCCAAGTTGCAGGTCTTGCGGAGCATCCCTCAACCATCCTTGCCCAGACAGTTGTTATCTTATGATGTGTGTACCTGCCACATCACTTAGGCTGTTGCAGACTGAACTGAGGTGCTTCATCTAATGTGTAACAGAGAAAAGCAATAGCTTCTCACTGCAAACACTCAAGACCTGTCCTATGTTGAGGTCAGGGTCAGACACCAAGTGTGGTGATTGCATGAGGGCAAGAGATGTATGCGTGTGCCTCCTGGAGGGCCTTGCTGTGCTTCACTTCCCATTTTTAGGGCTTGATGTATCAGGAGATGCAAGTGGGGTGTCCCCAACCACATTGTCTCTGCCTCTGTTTCTTTGGGGAGCATTTGCTGTCTGAGCAGCACCATTTGGGCAGTAGAGTGTTGAGTGCTGCCTCGTGTTTCATCTGGGATTTATTTGAGCTGACACCTTGCAAATTCAGCAGTGCTAAGTAGCTGTATTAGTGAGGCAGCTGGAGGTTTGGAGTCAGTCACCTGCCCTCTACTTGTGGTGGCATGTCGTGAATGGTGTGAGGGACGTCACAAGGTGGAAGGGCAGTCTTCTGGCCAAGTGCATGCTTTCTTCATACTAGTACTTTGGGGTTATTCTGGAGGACAGGTCTCCTGGGCTGACATATGCTTTGCAAGGGGGATGAAGTGACATTTATCAGTTACTAGGATATTAACAGTGTGTTGACGTTGGCAGGGGCAGAAGAAATTCCTGCAAATGGAGCAGTTTGTCCAGCAAAACCTCTGTATTTTCACTAAGGAATTCCCCTGAAACAATCTTTGCCTCAACATGCTTGTAAGGAAGTAGATAATGGCTTGCTGAGAGCGGTGCTGTGGAAACTAGTATATTTATACTTGAGGAAACGGGAAGCACTTTCACCAAGAACGTGTTGGTCAATGCCCAGGAAGAGGAGGATTTGCTGATTTAGAGCCTGGCTTGTCTCCCTGCTTTGGTAGCATGTCCTACCCTCCCCTGCCCAAGATACCAGGGAGTTCTCGGTGTTGTGTGTGCATGCTGATGGAGTGACTGGTTCCAGTGACTGGTTGAGGTCAACTGCAGCAAGAATTCAAGTTATGAGAGGCAGATCTAAATACAGTCTGGTGTCTTTAAAGCTGTAACACAGCATATTTCAAAATTATGTAGAACTTTTGATCTAACACTTGTTCCTCAGAAGTCTCACACTATTCTCGCCAAAGTGTCATTCTCTGTTCTGAAGATGCAGTGCATTTATTACTTGTGCATCATGGCAAAGCTGGTTGCACCAAATCACTGTTCAGTTCAGTGTTCTCGAACCTAGCCTTAAATTTGAATTTTCCTGGAGTTGCTTTTTTTTCCTCATAGCAAGTTTACTAACTTCTCTTCAACTTGAAAAGCATCCTAGAATTTAAGTAAAATCTGGGACATAATCGTGGGAACAGAATACATTGTTGTAACTTAAGAAAATGGTTTATCTTTCCTTGAAATAGGAATTAATCATCCCAAATAGGAATGTCCCTAGTGATGAGGCCACCAGCTTTGGCTGGTGAAAAATGAAGCTCTGCTAGTTCACACTGGCTGAGATCCTGCCCCAGGCTTTCCATTTGGCTGGTTTTATTTTCAGTGTGTATTGATATAATTCATTGAAATTATGGCATAGTCTTTACAGCCTTCAGTGATTTGCCCTTCCCCCCCCCCCCCCCCCCAGTTGAACCATTTAAACAACCATGGAAGCATTTACTGTTAATCCTTTGGTTGTTTGTAGTAGTAAATATTATTTAATCCTTCCTACTTTTAGCTTTTCTCCCTTTACCCCATATCAAATTAGCTTAATGTTGAAATGTTGCATTGATTAACACTGTGTCTTATGCGTGACCAGTCTCACATTCATTATGCTTTCATTGCCAGTCCCGCAGTGTCGATAAGCAGCATGCTGTGATCAACTATGACAAGGAGAAAGATGAGCACTGGGTGAAGGATCTCGGGAGCTTAAATGGCGTAAGTAGTAAACCTCCTGGATTATGAAAGCAAACGTGCACCATGCTGAATCTGCAAGTGCTTGTGCACTTAATTCTGTTAGACCCTTTTGGGTTGCTGCAACTCTTTGCATGAGTTAAGCAAATGTACATAATTATTTGCAAAGCCTGAGATGGAGGTCGTATAGCACCTCATCTTAGAAGAGAGAAGCTTTCGTGCATTTTGTATTTCTTTTTCCATTTCTTCTGTGTCCTTGCAGAACAGTTCAGAGCTCATAAAATCACAGAGCTGTTCACAAAAGAGGAGGAAATAAATTTAGTCTCATTTGGGGGATGTTAACATTGAACTGGTGAAGATTCTGGAGCAGCTGTTCAGCGTGAGCAGGGTGACCTAGCAGTTCAGTTGTCAGTGCATGCAGTGATTTATGGGATGACGAGACATTTAATTTCTTTGGGGAGAAACTATTTAAAACCACCTTTTCTATCTCCCCCCCCCCCCCAAAAAAAAAAAAAAAAAAAATTGCTCTTTTGTCTTTCTTGAGCCTGGTCTGTGTGAAGACCAAGGGGTAATATGACCCCAGAACAGGGAGCTGAGCCTGCCTTAATATTAACCGTTGTTCTGGTCCCAGTTCACACCAGTGGTGTTAAGGAGGGCTTTGTCTGCCCACCTGCATTCTGTGGTTTTTTAATATACCATTGTAGCAATCTGTCCTAATGTCATGGCATGCCTCTTCTTTGGCTGTTTATACCAGCAGAGGAATTCCTCTGCTGGAGCAGGTCTAAGTTAGATTCACATAATTGTCTTCCCAGTAGGGGTTTTAGTGCAATCATTTTTTTGGGCTTAGAAACAGAAGCCCTTCACCATCACTACCACAAGACAATCTCAGAAACTTGTACAAAAACAGCAGCTAAAGCAGATCTCAAGTGTTCTGCTGCTTCTGGCATCTGGAAACAGCAAGAATGAGTGTTACTCCTTCTCAGCCTTATAGCTGAAGGCACAGAGCCCTGCTGAGATGGGAATGTTTTCAGTAACTGGTCTGGGCTCTAGTTGGATCTATGGTTCAAAACCTGTTGTATTTAACTCCTGGTGGCAAAATAGCAGCTGAAAATTCTGCTTGCAAATAAGTGAAGGACTGTACCACTAATTCTTTTCTGTATTCATATGAGTTTACAAGATTTTAATGATTGACTTGTGCTCTGAGGGGCAGTGGAGTAAAAAGAGTTACAGCAGTGTCTGCCTTCTGCATCTCGTCAGATACACTTCTGCTGCAGAAGACTGTTGGGGCCAAACTGAATCTCTTTAGCATGAAAGAAACATAAGTCCTTACTTGAAAATTTTCATCAAAACCTGGTTTTCCCCCTAAACCTAAAGAAGTCACTTTTGAGGACCTAGATTTTTAATTTCGCTTGCAGAATTTGCTTTTATTTTGAGTTTACTTCATGGCTTTTCAACAGTGCATTATATGGCTTTGCTGGATAATCTGGTTCTTACTAACTGTTGAAATGTTTTATATTGTTTTTACTATAATGTTCAACTGATTCTTCAGTCTATGAAGGGGCTTTTGGTTTTGAAGGTAGCGTTTCTGTCTGCAGTAAGCAGTTTGCTTGGCTTATTTTATTTGAAGTAACCACAGATGAATAGGTAATGACATCAAAATGGGTTTTCTTGCAGACCCTTTTTTTTTGCAGAAAATTCACTAAATAATTATTCTTGCTCCAGATGTGATTCTTGTGGGATTTTTAAATATTATAAAAAATCATGACAATTGGAATTCCTTGCCTTTTAACCAGCCTCACTGCTTTTATTCTGAAATTACAGATCTTTCACTCAGCTCTTCTGTAAATTGCCAGGAAGCTGGGGGTTGTTGTCTGCTGAAGTTCTAGTTTCCTGCTTTAGCATTTATTTTTCCCCTGTGGTTAATACTTGGTCTTATCATGGATATTTGACTTGGCTGAGGTGAGAAGGCAGAGGACTGTGCCTCAGTGGTGAAAGCATGTAAATACATTTTCTAGCATAATTTTGATTCATCCGAGCATAGCTGCATTTGCATTGAGGCTGCAAAGAGGCAGCAGTGGGTTCCTGGTCTGTGAGACTGGGTGAATCCCACCTTGTGAGGTAGGGAAACTCCTGGTGTCTGTGACTGCCCGTCACTGATCCCCATCAGCATGCTGGTACTTCTTCAGCTGAGTTCCTGATTTATTTTTGGTTTTAGGCAGCCCTGGTTATTACAAAAGTGTGGGGGTTTATTTGTGGAAGATGACCATGAGTGCTTGATTTGTTCCTCTAGTGTTCTGTGAGAATTGCTCCTTATAGGGTCCCCGGGAAAGAAGGCATCTGAGACATCCCAGACATTTGTTCACAGCTATGAAATACATTTCTTGTACCTTTATGAGGGTAATTTAATTTCTTTGAGCCCCAATGAACTGTCTGGAGCATGGGAAAAATGAGTGTGTGAATCTTGTATGTGAGGGGCCTATTATACTGACATATAATGTCTTGGACAAAGTGGCCTCGGACATCATGGTGTTACTACTGCAAATGCTTGGGTTTCTTTTTGGTGCATTTTCATTTTCCCCTTCCTCTATGACAGGCTTTGCTCGTTAGATTATCAGGCCTTGCAGGTGACACCAGTGTTGTCTGACGTCCAGTGCAAAGCTGGTTCCCAGCTCAGTAATTAGAGTATGAGTTGCACTGTTTGCTACTCTTGTTGGATGTGGAGGGCCGAGGAGAGCTGAGAGCATCTGAAGTTCCTAACTGCAGGCACCTCATTTACCTGTTTAAGCTGGGGACTAAAATTTCATTTGCAGTTGGTGGAAAGGTGAATCTCCCTAGAAGTCCTGTCAGAGCACCTTGCTTTGAAGCATAATTGGGGTGCTCTAACTTGCCCATGGGAGCTACTTGCTAGTGTTGATTTTTGTAGGGAGCTTACCTCCTCACCTGGCTGACTTTGTGCTAGTGCACCCTGTGTGCAGTGTGGTTAGCAGATGGATCGTGGTGCCCTCCAGGAGCCCTGTGTATTTGGGATGCATCACTGTGATACCCTCAGTCAAAAACTATTCCTGTGCTTCTTTCCTGCAGACATTCGTCAATGACATGAGAATTCCAGACCAGAAGTACATCACCCTAAAACTGAATGATGTCATTCGCTTTGGCTATGATATCCTTCTCATCTGAAGAGGGAGTGGGACAGTGTCTCTGACTGGGTTTTTGCTGTTTGCTCTATGGGGAGTTAACAGTGCTAATGGTGACTAATGAATAAGGGTGTTTATTTTCCCTCCTGGAGCCTTTGGATGGCTCATAAACTTTGGTTTCTCCACCATGGACCTGATTCAAAGCATACTAATCATGATGACTCACTGGACTTTGAACCAGGCCTTGCACTGGCAGTAGTGACTGTGGAGTTGCCTCTTCGGTCTCTGTGGCACTGTAACTGGTACAAGTTGGGGAACAAATATATTCCATATGCTTTTATATGAATTAACATCTTCCTATTTTTTTTAATCCAACTTGTGTGCTTTTGTCAGTCATTTCACCCAAGTGCTTGCCTTCAGACAGTTTGCAGGTTTTCAGCATTTAGCTCTGGGGCTTGTGGTCAGGCTCCTGACTTTATCAGCTGAAGTTTGCCCATGAAAAATTGCTTTTGCTACAAAATACACAAGCAAATCTCTCTTTTTCACCAGCAGATTTCCCCTTTATTGAGGAAGGCTGGGCTGCAGTTACTACTTTGTTTACAGAAAAATTCTGCTAGTGTCTGCTAAAGCACCTTTGTCTTCGTCCCTTTCCTTTTTATACTGATGCGGCTGTATGACTGGATGTAAGCTAGATGTTTCATTCTGAGCCTACAGAGCTACTGCGGTAAGTAGAGGCTCCTATTGCTGCCTTTTCATGTAATCTCATACTTTCTTTATTCACTTTTTTTCAGTTGCTTCTGTCTGCTAAACTTCACCCACTTGGGCTGAACTTAGAACTAGCAGGTATCTTCTCCAGGTTTCTTTTTTTGTGGGGAAATTTCACTTAAAAAGAGTCAAGACATTTCTGAGAATAGAGGCAGAGGCTGAAGTTTTACCACTGGGTAGGGGGAAATGTTTGGCTGGAAAACTTGTGTGCATCCTTGACCCCAGGGCCACATTCTTGTGCCAAGCAGTTTTTGCTTGGCTGTTCTGGAGCCCTTGAAGTACTCCCAACCTTGCTGGAGTCCAGATAGGTGAGGCACTAAGAGGAGACTGAGCCTTTCTAGTCTTCAAATGATCTGGGCAGCTCAGCTCTAACCACTGACAGTGCAGGAGGTGCACTCACATTTGCAGCAGGGTTTTTTAAATTGATGTGTGCAGTCCTGGATATGCTGGAAAAGAGGGTTTTCTAGGCCTTGTGTAAGGTTGTACTCTTGGTTCTGGTCTTGCTCTGTCTCTTGCCATTTTAGATGCAAAAAAAATCCTTGCATTGCAGTGGTATTTCTAATTTTTACAAGTGAGGTAATTGCTGAATCTTAAAAAAAAAAAAAAAAAAGGGAGATAGATTATTTCCCTTTAGATTGGTATTTGAACAACTTGCAGCTGATGGAGATTACAGGAGAACGTGGTGGTGGTGGGGATTCTGTGATACTGAGTAGCCCCGTACTGGGTGCTGTCTGATAGAAGAGCACTGTCATTTGGGATCATGTCATTAAAGGTGGTGTCTCGGTGCACATGCTATGAAGCCTCTTACAACCTCAGTTCTAGCTTTGCAAATTGGCAGGTATTTTTGATGTAGCTGGTCATGTATCTTCTGGTCTTTAGATGTGTGGAGAAACTCATAGAAGATTTGCTCTGAACTGTAGCCTAGTGAAGGCATAAGCCAGTGCCTAGAGCATGGGTAGGTTTTAATGGCGTGATACAGGTTTAAACATTTTATAGAAAGCAGTTCTGAGTATTAAGCAGCTGAATTGAAGTTTAATCCCGTAGCCCTCACACTGATATTCATGTGAAATGAATGATTGCATTTACGAATTGTAGAATTTATTGCCACCAACAGGAAAATTATAAAGAATTGCAGGTCTTAGTGTTATTTACTTCAGCGTAGTTAGTATGGCAGTTACAAACTCTTCCTTTCCTTTGCTGCTTCAGTGCCACTCTTTAGTAGTGTTTTCTGTGCATACCACATAGCTCGGTGTTGATGGCAGCATCTCCTGAGGTCTGAGTCATCTGTGTGCTGTTGCATAAGAGCTTTTGCCTCTTTTCCATTTACAGTTTCACATACAGGCTGTGCAGATTCCCTGCTATGCCAGTATCACTTGGTTTATTTTTAGTGTAATGTTTTCCATCTTTCCTTTTTCCTCCCCTTTGCGCTGTGCTGTGCTGATTGGGTTGTTTGTGTTGACACTGCCATATGCTTCCTTTATTTATTTATTTTTTTACATAGTGTTGCTGAGGATTATTGCCTAGGCTCAATTATGTTGAATGCCTCCGTTCCAAAGAGGTCACAGCAGCTTATGACCTGATTTACTTTTCATCCAGGAAACTGCAGTGCCTGAAAGGCTTTGTCAGGGCAAGAGAGCATGATAGTGCCAGGCATCCCTGCAGGGAGCTGGACTCTACTATTCCCTTGTCCAGAGCAGACTAGATTGCCTCATCTTGGCCAGGATACCATGGGGAGAGAGCAACCTCTCTGCAGCTGCCAGCTGGGTGGAGAGGAGTGGGGTGTGAGTTGAGTCAGGGTTCTGGTTGCTTCCTTGGGTCCTGCATGGAGCTGCTAGTGCTCCCCCTAGTTTTTCCTGCCCTGCTCCCTTATCTGCTACCCCTCAGTTGGCGTGGGTCTCGCCAGCAGATGTGATTGCATGCTGTCTTGCAAAACATGCATGGCAGAGTCCGTGGTGAGTTACAGAAGAGGAAACTTTTAGTACCATGCAAGTTTTAAGCTTCTCTGATATTATATCTTGTTTTCTTTCCATGACTAAATGCTAGATTTCTCTGTCCGTCCACTTTGTTTGCCTTTTCCTTAATGAGTGCTGTACATTCAAACATGTATGTCCTGGAACAAATTCAACACAAAGTCCCAGAAGAAGCGTTAAAGGTAAGGGTGTCTGGATGCAGGTGCATTTAGGAAAAAAAAAAACATAATTTAAGTGCTCCTGTAGTGGCCAAGCAGACCAAAATATTAAAATACTCTTCATAGCAGTGGAATGTTCCACCATGTGGGGCTTTCCTTGGATCAGGACTTAATGAAACCTTTATTTGAGGAGAGATACATTTCCCAGTTACCCTGGCTCTGATCCCTGTGCTAACGTGTAGATAAAGATATTGATGACTTCATGAGTGCCAACAGAAAAGGTTACTAAAGCTGTAACATATTAAAGAACAGCCACCACATAAGCTTGTGGGTGAAGCACAGCAGATCTTCCCTCCCAGAAGTGGAGCAGAGATGCCTCTTTCTTAAGCTTTGTGGCTTAGACCAGCTCCATCACACTTCCTCCGGCAGACTTAAGTTTACTTAATTTATTCCTGTATATTATCTAATTTTTGCCTTTGAGCTCCCAATTTTTACTTACTGAGCAGTCCTCTTTTGAATGAGGTGTCTTTAAACAAAGAATTCAGTAGCAGGTACAAAATATTCAAGCATCCTCTTATCTAAAGCAGAAAAGCAACCTCCTCTAGGCAAGAAAGCTGTTATGTTCAGCTGAGGGACTGGGCTATCAGTGCCAGGCATCACCGTGTGGCTAGCAGCTACTGTCTTAGCCCTGGTTCCATGTTTAGGACTTGGAGAGGATTGGAAATGTAGCAGCTGAAATTGGAAAAATGATTCATTGAATTTACTCGGGGGATAATCTTTATGGCTACACACTTTTATTAATTTATTTGTAATAAACCCACTTTTAAATAGCTCATTTATTATGTGGAGCCTGTTTTACTGCGCTTTCCTATCTGGGGAGGGGGTTTGGCAAGAAATAATTTAAATATATTTTAATTGCCTTTCCTGAAAAAATGAGATAATGCAGATGACTGTCCTGAAAGAATTTATGATGTTGCCTTAAGAACAAAGGCGATTTCAGCATTCGAATCCTGAGTAAGAAATGACCTAAGTTCTGATTGTTCTCAGTTTATTCTTTAAAAGGTTTTCTAATTAAATATTTTGCAGAGCTAAGTCACAGTGATGTTCTCATGGACTAGAATTGTCACTCAGTCTTTCAACTGGGGAATTTGAAAGCCTCTCTGCTGGCATTTCTGCTGTATTTTGTAGCCTCTGCTCAGGTGTGCTTGCTTTCTCTTGCAGAACATAGCTGCAGTGTTTGCCTTTGCATGATCTGTTTGCAGGGAAGGTTTTCTGTGGGCTAGCACACAGATCATACTGGCACACTACAACTGTTGCTTGTCTCTGCAGCATGAGAAGTACACCAGCCAACTTCAGATGAATTACAAAGGCACGGCAATGAAGAGGGCAGAGCAGCCCATGGAGCACAGTGGCTACACAGAGTCTCCTCAAGCAAAGCTGGAGAAAGGAGAGAGGAAAGCAATTACAGGTACTTGCTCAGGAACCAGTCAATCAAGATTCAGAACAAAGTGCAGCTTGAGCCCTGCAGTGAGTCGTGATGCTGACGTTATGGTGTTGTGGGTTACATCTAGGAGCAGTTCCAGAAGGGTCATCTTTCTAAACCTCTTGAGTACTCCAGACTCAGATTTTGGAGATTCAACGTCCAAAAAAAATCATGGTGTGATGGCACACACTCCTTGTGTCACTGTGTGTGTGCTTGAGAACCTGTGGGCTGAGCAGGTTTGGTAAGTTCTTTGGCACCTGTCTGGTCTATTTTAATTTCCTAATTGTGAACTTGTGTTTGAACAGAGATGGTGACTCAGAGTAGAAAATGTATGGCTGCCATGGCATGGTGCCGGCAGGCAGGCAAAGAAGCAACAAGCCATTTCTTTCAAAAGCCCAACATGGTTTTAAATGGCTGTACTTCCTAACATACCAATGTGTGGGATTGAAACTGACTGCCAAACTGCAAGGTGCTTGCTTCAGGTTCACTATTCCCCAGCCGCAATCCTTTTCAGTTTGAAAAATTCCTTTTCTTCTTCATTTCTTTACCCACTGCTGCCCCTTTAAAGTCCCTTTAAAACCTTGTTTCTTCCCTGTTCCCCATTATGGTGGGCCAAGACCTCCCCAGGAGTCTTGGGTCTCAGCCATCTCACCTGACTTCCTACCTGCCCTCGCAGGTCTCTTCCCAATTCTGCTTTTGTATCAGTGGATTTCTAGAGCTTGATGATGCATAGGAAGAACAAATATGGTTTCAAAGCATCCCAGAGATGAATGACGGCCAGTGGTGGTCTTGGGGCACCAGGATGGCAGAGTGATAGGAAGACTTCAGGGTTAGCAGAGAGCCTGCCCACTGGCTCTGTTGGAAAAAGAAGCAAGGATGTGAATGGAGGGAAGAGGGTAGGTGAGTAAAAGAGGCGAGATAAGGATAGATAACAGCAGCTTTCTAGAAGAGTGTACAACTTCGAGTGAAGCTGCCAAGGCTTTATGATAACTAATTGGAGTGTGTTAGCTGACCTTGATCTCCCATGCATTGACTGTCTTTATGAAAATCCCTTTAAGCTGACAGTGTACTAAAACTGTACGTTTTCTCCCTGGTCTTGCTGTTGCCTTCAGCTGTTCATGGAAGCACATGGGCATGCACCCATGTGCCTGGCTCCCATTTTCTGCACTGCAAGACCTTTTTTCATGTTGCTTCAGCTGTGTCTGTTGCCCTCCCCCACGGATGTGACATTTGTGACTTTGCCTCACAAGCGTGCAGTTAAAGGGATGAAGTTGGTGTTGATTAACCATGACGCTGCAGAAGGTGAAAAGAGGTGAATCTCACTGTGGGGGAAAGCTCTCCAGCTGCCTTTCAAGTGATGCGCGGGGCATGGGATACTGGGCCAGTTTGCCAACAGCTGGAACCGCGTTGTATTTGTTGCTGCGTGGTTGTGTGAAAACTCCCATTTTTATTTTTGCCACCTTCCAAAAATTCACGAGTTGATTTTAACCTACATAGCGTAAGCAGGTGATATTTGGAACACCTTCAAAGTCAGGATGTTAAGTGACTCTTCAGCAAGGTGACCCATTTCTCCAGCATGTGGTTCTCAGACCTGTGTTACGTTTCTGTCATCGTCAGAGAGCACAGACCATGGGTCTAAACCAAAAAGGACTGTGATTACTTACTGGGGACCAGTGCTGAAGTATGTCATGTGCAGTGGGACTGATAGACATATTAAAAAAATAATCTCTGAAGTGCTGCTAACCCCACTGGAAGATGGTGGAATTCAGGACTTCTTGTTGGAAATATATTGCTAGATTGGACTGAAGCCTGTTCAAGCAAGAAGGGAGCCTGAGCATTAAATCAGCACCTTACTCTCCTAAAAGCATCTGTCATGTGAGCAAAATGATTATTGAGTCCCTTTTTTCATCTGCAATGTGACTAATTCACCTTGTCTTCGGCTGCACACATGCACAGTTTCTTCTTGGTTGCTTAGAGGAGTGGCAGCAATTTAAAATGATCAGTGGAAAGAAGAATTTGGTATTCTCACGGGGAGTGGGCTTGCCTAGTGGCGGCACAAGGAGGCTTTGGGGAAAGAACTGTTTCACTAAGCCTGTAGGTATTTGGGAACTTGCATTGACTAATTAAAGCAAGGTCTAGGGTGACAAAAGCCTTTAGAAGGATAGCTTCCCAGGGCCTGAGTCTAAAAGAGGCAGAGGGAATAGCAAGCTTTCAGGGAAGAGGTTTAACAAAACAATGTGAACAATTATTGCTGCTTAGGAGGAGATTCGGGACTGAAGATAAAGAGATCCAGTGGAGTGAATGGGAAACAGCCATTTAGTCTTTATGCTGTTGTGCTTGCAGCTTTTGAGTGTACGTAAGCAGAAAACCATCAGTCTTTGTGAAATGTTTGGAGTGGGGAGCTTGGTGAGCCCTATGGGTTGGATGTGGATAAGAGAAGTGCCCACAGTTCAGCTAATTAATGCTAAAAATAGCCATTGGCTTTCATGTTCAAAGCCTTAAGCAGTCAGGAGGTCAGGTATAGCCTTGAACTGAGCTGATTTAACTCACAATCCCCATCTGTTGCTACCTGAGTTGAGGTACTGAAGGAGATAAGCTACTTTGTGGTCTTCTGTTCTCAACACATAGCTAATCCTCAGGCTGATCTTAATTTATTTAATTTTAAAGGCCTGATGGGAATAGATAATGCTGAATCTGATGAGTAACTTCTGAGTAACTGCTGCAGGCCTGAGTTTTCGGGGTGGAGGCTGCCTGCAGCATTTAGTTGAAATGGGCATCACCAGCTGCAGAAGCAGGACTTGAGCCAGGATCTGTGAAATAGTCTTGCTCACGAGGTTAGCATCTGTGCCATTAGGGAGTCCTTTCAACTGAGTGTCCAACTTGAAAGTCTTGTTGGTGTCCGAGGCTGAGGTCTAGCAGGCAGAATGGACAGAGGCAGTGGGTGTTGTGCTCAGTTGTGGTTTCCATGGACTTTGGCTGCTTTCCCCATGAGATCATGGTAATAGCTATTTAGGCACACAGCTCTACCCTAGCCTTTCATTTAAGGAAGTGGTGGTGGTATATCTGTTTTTTGTCTGAGCTAGGGTAATGGTACCTGCAACATGTTAAAGGTTTGACATGTAATTGAGACAAATTTGTGATTATCAGTCAGATTTGAAAGCCTCTGGGGTCTGTCTATATTCACAGCAGGTACGTAAGGCCAGGGCTCAGGTTTGCCGTGCACATGTGAAATAAATACTGCAACAAAGAGTCAGAGAATGGTTTTATGGTTATTTCTTCTAGGTCTGAATCCTCTATTTCAGAGAGGAGTTAAAAAACAGAAATGGAAGGAATTCATTTTAAAATGTTATAGTAAGATCATCTATTTTTCCCCCTAAGGCCTCTGCTGTAGGAAGCCTACTCTGCATCTTCTGAGAATGGACAGTATTGTTACTAATAATGAATCAAAAATGGTTTGAGTTAAAGCAAGCTGGATTTCTCATGCTTCTGTTATGACTTGCTGTAGACAGCTTCAAAGCTGATGTGCTTCTATTGGCAAATCAATTTATCGTTTCTGTCTGTGTCGTGATGGCTTGAAGCTTTGTGAGGAAACGCAGCCCTCAGTCCTCTCCTGGCCACAGGGGACACCCTTGTGGGAAATCAGACCCCTCTGTAGTGGGAGCTGTGTGCTTGTCATGAAAGCTCTTCTGCCCACTCGCTGGTAGAAAGCAGCATTAACACAGGCTTCCTCCTTGCCCTTTCATCACCTGGATTGTATTTTTCTTCCTGCCTTTGTGTTCTGTGTGATTAATTTCTCCATAAATGCATCCTTTGTATTGACACATCTCATTTTCTCTTGTTGTGGTGCCTCTCCTTCAGCTGATCAATAGTTTGGTATTAATTTAGCAGGCCACGTTCTTATCAGACTTGTTAAACAAATGAACCTGCCTTGTTTTATGCTAAAACAGTCTTCCTTTTTCTTTTGCGTGACTGCCCCAAACACATATCCAGGAGCAGAACATGTGTATGTCAGGGGTCTTCCCTGTATTACACTGTCACAGGTAGCTCAGCATTTATGTGGCTGAATGCTTGTGCTGACCTCAACTCAGTTATCTAAAAGGGTGGCTTTTGGACTGTCTGCCTGAATAAATGAGCCAAGAAATATGTCTAAATGAATTGGCACCATCTGGGCAGCCTGGCACAGAGTGGAGAGAGGTGGTAACTAGCTGCCATCAATTGGAGGAAGTCTCATGTCATTAAAATGACTGAGCAGTTAGTTTTCATTGGTGTTCCTCGCTTCACTGCTGACTTGGGCAAGCCCCAGGTCTCTCTGTTCTTGCAAGAGCTTTCATTTTACACTAAAATATAACAGACAGGCAGTAGCTTCAGGATGATATGTGACTCTTGGGACACAGGCAAGCGCATTGCTCAGGACGCTGTGAGTCCAGGTTGAGATTGCTACCTAAAATGCATCCCCTCTGGTAAAGAGCAAAGCCCCTTGGCATAAATGTTTATGTAGCTCCTCCCTGCCCCACTTCTTTCACTGCCATCTGATTTAGCTGACTTTCTATGTGCCTCCCCCTCCATCCTCCTCCCTCCCCTTTTTATACGATACTGTTGTGTTAGAGCTGGAGTAGTGAGAAGCATCAGGTTGGTTGTGACTGCAAATTAGAAGGGATGGAAGCTTCTGACGTGAACAGGGCAGCAAGGTCATGTAGCTCTTCTGAACTCAGGGAAATCTTGTTCAAGCTCAGGATCTGGCCACTTTCAACAGTAGCTGAGAACGAGGGTGTCTGTATCATTTGATAATGCTATGCAAAATGCAGACTAATATGAAGGCTCAGTGGAAACATAATTGCTCTTAAAATACTGAAACTGTCCCCAGATAACAAAATGCTGACTCCTTAGCTTTTCATCTGTGCTTTTTGCAGTCTTTAAAATGAAGTTCCAGTTTATTGTGGAGGCTTGGAGAGGGGAGGAATGGAAAAACAAAAGCAAACACAAAAACAAAGACCACAGAAGTGTTACACATGGCTGTAGCTGAGTGTTGCAGGTGGGGCCTGGCAAGCTCTGTGTTGTGGGGCAGGAGGGACCTTCTGCTGCCATTCAGTCAGTGCAGCAGAGTGGCTCCCCCTCTGGTAGGCACAGGTCTGTGCACTCTGGCCAACCTGATGTGCTTTCTGTAGGTGCTGCTTGACATTGTCCTGGCGTTTTGACTTTGTGCTAGCTTTTGTCAGAGGGGGAAATTGGGGAATTTCCAGGCATTTTTTAGGGATTTTTAGGTGGAGGGGAAAAATTGGATTGAATCATTAGTCTTTGCAAATACTCCTTTTGGTTTTTTTTCCCTCCCTTTCACCTTTCCTTGCAATCCCAAAGTTTCCTGTGTTCAGTATGCAGATGGCACACAGACCTTGAGGCTAGAGCAGCTTCTGGGAAGGAGTCTGTCCTGCAGGATGCATGCGAGCTCTCTTTGCTTGTTTCTGCTGCTTTGGAAAAAAAGTAAAAAATCTTGGACTAGGCAACTAGAATTTTCTAGAGTAGGGGGGCTTTGGGATCCCAAGAGGAGCTGGAGTGTGCTGGAGGCATGAGCTTGTAATGAGGCAGCTCCTTGCAAGGTGCAAGCAATAACAGCACCCATGCTCGGGAAAGTGCTGCTTATGCAGGATGGTCTTTGTATTTCATCTGTAGGGTAGTATGCTCAGGATTGTTCCACCAGCAACTTAAAATAAACCACTTTTGTAACTGGTCATATTAATCTGAGACAGGTATCCAAAATCTCATGTGTTTCTTCATGGTTGAGCCCTTCACTGTGCCTCATTGAACTTTTTAGGCATAAGTTACCCCAGACATAACTAGCTGTTAATGGATTTGTCCATCACCCAAAATTCATCACCTTCTCCCTGATTGCCTCTTGGCTGTCAACCCTAGGATCATTACTTCAGATCAGAAGGGGATAATTCATTGCAGTGTGTGCCCAAAAGAAGTGCCTGATGTTAGCAGAGCAGATCCTGTGTGGTTGGGCTGTGGGTCTAGTGTGTAAGTCATAGCATGAAAAGGGGTGGTTGGTCTCAGCCTAGTAGAGTCTAAACTCTGCATTTGGGAGCCTCTGTTCATTGACAAGCTTGTGAATATTTTTATTTTCCTTTTTTTATTCCTTCCCCTCTCCCTTGAGTTAACCCATCCTCAGTTATGAAACATATTGCTCGGCAATTCCAATTTATTCCTGGTGAAAAATGCTTCCTCCTTTGAACTTTCAAAGGCCGCCTACATAATGGGAACACAGTTTATTTTTCACGTACTCTAGGCAGAAAGGAGAGTAATACTTTCAGCCTCTTTTGATCCTCAGTGTGAAGGGAGGCAGTGTGGTTAATTTTGAAACATGAGGAACATATCTTGAAAAGGGCGTGGGGGCTGCATCTATAAAGCAAAATTTTTGCTTGTGGACTGTCAGTGTAGGAGCTGTACCTCTGGAAGTACTGAGGAATAAAAACATCTGAAGTATCAAGTTCAGGTTGGATGGGGCTTTGAGCAACCTGGTCTAGTGGAAGGTGTCCCTGCCCATAGCAGGGGGGTTGGAACTAGATGATCTTTAAGGTCCCTTTCAACCCAAACCATTCTGTGGTTCTATGAAGTAGTGGCCGTTGGGTCTATGTAGCTTTAGAAATGGCAGCATAGAATCAGGCTTTCTTTTTTCTTTGAGATGTTTAATTTTCCTTCCTCTCCTAACTTCCCTTATGCTGATGACTACTTTCTGTCATGTCCCTGTTAAAGTGGGGAATGCAGAATTGCAGGGCTGTTTGAGGGTGGCTTTACAGAGCAGTGTGTGGTTTTTAAAACCACAAGCCGAGCAGCAGCTGGCAGTAGAAGCCCAGCTATGGCTGTGTAGCTGGAGCCAGGGTTTAAGATGTGGCCGGTAGAGTGTGTGCTGATGGCTGTTAAAAGCAGAGGAAGAAGCAGCTAACAAAGCTGAAGCTGAACCTCAGCCCCTGACCTATTCTTGTGTTTCTGTCACCTCTAGATGAAAGAACAAAAGCTACTGTATTTGCTTTTATGAAACTGTTATAAAGACATAATAACTATACCATAGATAAATTGAGGTGTATTGTTTGTACTTATAGCATAAACAGCAGCAGCAGAAGGCACTGCCAAGGCACTGTCTTATTTTGCAGGAGACAAAATGAGAAGCAGGTCATCAGGCCCTTTGGGCACCAGTTGCTACAGTAAAGCCCTGATCTTACAGTGAGTGCTTACTAAGCAGAGAAAACGATAGATTCCTGGTTCTTCTAGGAGAAGCTTCTCGATGAGAAAAACCTGTGTCCTGCAGTGACCCTGAAATCCACTGGGTTTACTTTAAGATTTAGAGAACAAGAGTTTACTACTTCTTCATGTATGTGTAAGGTCATGGTTTTACCATTTTCCCAAAATTTGTAACGCATCAAGAATTTCCTGTTGTGGGATGTGTGTCACTTAGAGCGGGCATGGTGAATAGCTGGAAAAAAATCTTTGGCCTCACAACATCCAAGAAAGGGCACAGCTAAAGTCTTCCCAGTTAAGGTCAGGAAAAAGTCTGCTTTTCACCTGAACTGCAAGTGATTTGCAGACAATTTTGTGGTTGGTTTTCTGTAGCCTGTCCTGCCAAAAGTCTTTCACTTCTGTGAATAATGAGGCTGGAAAGGGAGAAAAGCTAGTATTTGGGAAACATGGCTATGGTAGACAATGAAGGGAGGTGGCATCAGCATCTTGCAGCTGAATGTAAACAAAAAAGGAGGGAAAATTGAAAAGCCTGAACACACTCATTATGATGTATAAGCTGTTGTTATAATTGCAGTGTAACAGGTACATGATCTCATCTGACCCTGCTATTTTTCCTGTTTTGGCATCTGGTTGACCTCTGTGAACGTGATAAATTGATATTTTCTTTGTCAAAGTATTTGCTTATCCTCTTCCTAGAAACCAGTACTTACCGCACCCCGCTTTATGGTCAGCCCTCCTGGTGGGGGGAAGATGATGAAAATAACAAGGAGGACAGAAGGCAAGAGGAACATTATTCAGGTAATGGAGGTGACTTTGGGGTGGGAGAAGATGGTTGGGGGGGGACGTAATTGCTCCACAGTTTTGACCTTTACTGTGCGAAGCCATCCTGCTTCAAGGCTTTAATTATCACTTTTTTTTTTTTGGTGGTAGTATTTGCATATTCCTGTCTGTAGATTGCTGATGATGAAACCAGAATAAGAGAAAATTAAAATGTTTCTCTGAAAGTATTTAAACATTAGAAATGGCAGTTGTGGAATAATTCACTATGGATGAGAAAGGCCTTGCTAAGCTTGTCTGAGACTAATCATACAGCAGTGCTCCATCTGTGACTGCAGCCCACCTAAGTAAACCATTCAGTGTCTCCTAGGAGTTTCCTATCTAAAAGGTGCTTTAAGAGCTGATGCATTGACTGGATTTGATTAATATGGAAGCAACGTGTTTCTTAACTCGTCATCCTTGGAAGCCATTTAGCCTTACCATTTCTGCCGTGAATCTCTATGCATGGAGGATGCATCATTTTTCACTTGTGCAGTAAACCTGCAATACGCTTTAAAACCAAGCATATGCTTTACTGCACCAAGAAGTGCTTTATTTTGATGCACATGATGCATGTGCAGCGTATCTGTTCTCTAGCAGAGAAGTGCTGTGATTAGCAGCCCTCCCAAGAGGTTGAAATAAGTAAGTGACCAAGTGCCAAGAAGTTTGGGTACTACCAAAAATATGTGGTTTTGTCCTTGGTCATATTACAGAATTAGGTGTTGCTCCAGCAAAAACCATGTCTGTGATTCGCTTTGCACACACTCAAGCTTTTCCTTTGAATTGTGGAAAGCTGAGTAGGTGTGCATGCAAGTGAATTTGGCAAACTGAAACAGGATCTTCCTCCTACATCAGCCCTGGCATACAGAAACCTTAAAATGCTACCAGCCGCACAGGTTCTCTCAAAGCATAGAACTGTGTGTGTATGTGCTCAGCTCTCTCTTTGGGGAGCAGTGGAAAAAAGGACAAAGTGGTTATCACAAATGCTGGTCAATGCATTTGTGATCACAGCAGTGCAGTAATCGCCTATTTCAGTGATGAAGCCAGGGCACCATGCTATCTAAACCAGAACCTGTATTTTTTTCTTTAATCCATTTAACCTAATTCTTGTGAGTTTAAGGTGTTCTTGCTGTTGTTGTTTTGTTTGTTTTTTTTTTTTTTTTCCTTTTGTAGGAAGACCAAAAGAGATAACCCAACATGAAGAGGAACTGAATGGTAATATTTCTGCTTATAGAGATGCCCAGGAACAGTCTGTGTTTGCCTTCCGTAGAGAGCCGAGTTACTTTGAGATTCCAACTAAAGAATTTCAGCAGCCATCAAAATCTCAAGAAACACAGGTTCATGAGATCCCAACAAAGGATATTGATGCTGTAGTAGCCCCTGTTGTACAGAGTCATGCCTCTTTCACCATTGAATTTGATGATGGTACCCCGGGTAAAATAAAGATAAAAGACCACGTGACTAAATTTTCACTCAGACAGAGAAGACTGTATAGTAAAGAGCCAGCTCATACAGAAGTGATGTCAGCAGAGAGCAAAGTGGCTGACTGGCTTGTCCAGAATGACCCAAGCTTAATGAGACGGCAGTCTCCAAGTGATGATGTGTACAGCACAAAGAGTGACCTGCCGGTTCACGTGCGGACACTTAAAGGTGAGTGAATGTCTTGTCATGTGACATAGTTCTCTGTTGGGCATACAAATGCAGCATAAGAAAGGGGGAAACCCCTTATTCTGTCAAGGAGGATTGAACGTAATTATCTCTGCTCCAAATCTGCAAGATGAAGAATATTTGTTTAATGGCTGTTAATGGTTCTGAATCCAGCTAGCAGGCTCTTCACCTGGCCCTGAAGTCATGTGTGATGCTGGCCTGGGGACACTCTAATCTGGTTCCTCTGAATCTGTAATGCCAGCTCAGCAGTTAACAGTGATTGAAAAAAGAATTTTGATTTTGAAATGTGTGACGTAATATCCATGTGCTTGGGCAGGCTGGTAAACACAACTATTCCAGTGGATTTTCTTCTCTTGGCTTCTAACTGAAGGGATGATTTTTGGTTTTAGTTGTAGTCAGAAATATGCTGTGATCATCTTGATGGCTGTAATGACCAGAACCACTTGGTTAGATGGCAGAATGTCCTGGCGTGGAGATGGGTGATTGAGTTGAGGTATATGCAGTCACCAGAGGAGGAAATTGTACTTGTAGAAGAAGGTTTCTTCTCTTAAACTAAAGCTTCTCTGAAACCCTGCTCTGTTCAAAAACTTCAGGTTTTGTGGACCTGTGTCCTGTTAAGTGTGTCACTGTGAGGAATTCTTTGGGCATTTTCAAAGGTTTGAAGTGTATTTTGGAGCCCAGTTTTTAGTGCAGCTGCTGGGACTCAACATGATTCGCATGTGACTTTGAATGTGTTTTGCAAGATTTGGGCTGGCTTAGATGTCTCTCTTGGGCCATACACTGAACGGATAGGAGGGAGACCACAGATTCCTGCGTTCTCACTGTCGTGCAGGCTTCTGGAAAAACTCTCCTATGAACTGCAACTTTAACTGATTAAGTCATATTGAAGGTAATCAGACCTACATGTGTTTGAGGTCCTTAAACAAGAGCAGTACCTCATTTTCACTTAAATGAGTATTTGGTTGGTCCTTGTTGGAAGAAAACCTCCTCATAATATGAAGAGTTTTGCCCATTACACCTCCCAACTTGCTGTTTTGTGTATGTTGTTTTTGAGAAGCCCCGATGGTCAAGAGGTCTCACATATCCAGCCTTGGGATTTGGCATGGCAAATCATTGAACTGTTTTATTGTCGTTATTTGTTTCTAGTTCTTCCCAATAAGGGCCCTGATTGATTATTTGGGGTCTTATTTTCAGTTTAATGCGACTGTGTGGTAGAGGGTTTGGGTTGATTTGGATTTTTTTTTGTTGCTGTGGTACTGGATTTTGTTGACTTGAGCATTGACAAGGATAGAAATGTGCTTCAGTAGATTTACTCTTGGAGAAAACTAGAGTTAGGTTAGAGTTAGACTCTTTACGGTCAATAAGGAAGGAAGCTGAAGTAATTTAATGCATAATTTGCATATAAAGAAATCAACTCTTTGGACATTTGATTAAAACATACAGTGATGGTGGCCTGAGGAGTTTACACATCTCTGCTTTCACAGAAGACAGGGTGTTATTTATCTGTGATAGCTGTGTAACATGTTCTTCTGGCATGGCTAATTTTGAAGATGTCTTGGAGGCTACCTCTGGCTGCCTGCCAGGTTTGGGTCTTCAGGATCAGAGATGCCCACCATCAGGGTTCTTACTTACATTCTTCACTTTCAGGAGCAATGTGGTCAATGTCGAGCCTGTTATCAAGACTATAGAGTTCAGGTCTTAGCAGCTTGAGGGTATGTGCATGGTGTTCTGCCGGAGCATCCAGCGGCACAGTGGGTGTTTCTCCTTGTGTCCTCACTGTTTTGCATTCAGCAGAGTTCTTAGCCAAGAACCTTTAATTTAAGAAATTTCCCTTCCAAGGATGAAGCTTATCAGCCCTTGGGGCACAATGCAAAGTTTGCTGGCTCCCTTCATTGAGGGTGTTAGGAAACTCTTCAGAGGACTGACTCCTGGGTTAAATGGATCTTGTATTAAATTCTAATCTTTCACAGCTAACTTGAGGTAATAAATGGTCTTCATGCATGTGCCTGGAGAACTTGTAATGTAGGTCTGAGCAGTTTCCCTGACAAACACGTGGTATTTTAGACAGTATGTCTTGCTACATATTACAGTCTAGAGCGCAGAGACCTCTTTCCCCGTTCTCCCAATGACAGGTTCCTGGTCGTTGACTGAATCGTGTTGTGTGCCTTCACACCCGTTTCCTTCTCCAAAAAAAGGTTTGTTTTTTGTTTTATTTTAACTTTTTGTTTAACTTGCTTTCTGAGAGTCCTGAACTGTGGTGCTGAGGGGCAGGCATCACTGATACATAGAGAAGGTTGTAAAGATGGTTGTTGCTAACAGGAGCGAAAATAATTTTAAGCTTATTTTAAGCTCAGTGAACTCTTATGTAATGATTTAACCTTTGCTTGGCTGGTGATAGGATGATGCAACTAATGGGGATGTTGTTGTGTGATTCTTAAATCTTCAGAAATGTAAAAAAATCACTTTTCTGTTTAGCCTCTGGTTTAGTTCTACCTTGTAGAGAAGGATGATGTAGGTACTCAGCAGTGCATGCACTGATCTGGTCTTTCACTGTGAGGATTTGGTTTCATGCGTTGCAGTGTGTGGGGATTATTTGCGGATCCTGCAGAGATATTTCTGTTCTGTAACAGAGCCTAGTGAGATGATCTTGAACCATTGTAATTGAGCAGCACAGCAAAATAATGTCAAATTTTTTATTTAAATGGGAAAAAGAAAGAAGTAAAACATTAGCTATCTAAAACAATCAGTGTTAAAAAATTGGAAACCTTTGAGGTTGAAATTACTTCTTGAATTGTTTTTTAATAACTTGATAGCCAATCAGTTGTGAAAAGTAGGGTCAGGAGATATCTGCCTTCTCTTCTGTTTCCTCTGATGGGATGCAATCCCTGCACCACAGCAGATGTCTCTGGAGTTGTGGGTTTTTTGGGGTTGTTTTTTTTTTTTTTGTTTGTTTGGTTTGTTTGGTTTTTTTCTTTTAATTGGAATGATAAATTTCAACTAGGCGGTAATGACAGGGCTACAGCAACTGAGAGTATGAAAGTCAAATCTACATACCCTGTTTCCAGGCAATAGGCACGAGGACGGGACGCAGAGCGACTCTGAAGACCCCGTGGTCCCTAAGGCTGAGAAGGAGATGACGACTGGCAGTGAACGTGCGACAGAGCAAACCAAGCTGCAGCGCCAGATGAGGCGTGATCCCCACGAGATGCTGCACAACAAGCAGGCCTTTGTCATTGAATTCTTTGAGGACACGCCGCGGAAGAAGCGGTCGCAGTCCTTCACACACAGTGCTCACTCCTCCCAGAGCGACACTGATCCAGGGATGAAGACCAAGGCTGAAAAGCGCAAGAATGCATTGCCAGCGGAGAAGTTGGGAAATACGGTGCCACCATCCCACCTTGGAGCCCAGACAGGCAAACCCATTAGCAGCTCCTCTGGGACCCAAAGAGCTGGCTCCTTCAAGAGGGAGAAGACAGAGGATCGGATCAGCAATTCATCCTCCTCTACTTCCAGAGTCAAAAGTTACGGGAGTGTTGGGAGGAAGTCTAAAATGGCTCAGGATTTTATGGCTGAGTACTTGCGGGAGACTGCTCAGTCTGGGAAGCCAAATGCTGAGAAACCAGCACCTCTGCCTGTGCCGGTAGCTCCGCGTGTGGTTATATCGTCAGAACCAGAGTCTGCCTCTATTCCACCTCCAGACGTAAAGTCTGCCCAGGGCAGGAGGAATGATGAGGAAGACAGTGTAAGTGAGACGGGCACATACACAATTGAGACGGAGTCACAGGATAAAGAGGTGGAGGAAGCACGAAAAATGATAGATCAGGTAAATGCTGCTTTTCTGTGCTTAGCCAGTGATCTGAGGGCTGAAGGCTTGGACTTCTGCACCTTCTGCTGGAGGGCCTACCTTTGATAGCTGTTGCTACGAAGGGCTGCTCCCTTTTGAACTGGATGCAGGAGGGGTTTATGGTTAGGGGTGGGAAATCATCCTGGGTGACCTGTGTTAAGGATAGGTCCCCGCAAACTGTGGGGCTTGTCTTTAAAAAAACCCAACAAAACAACTGTATTACAAACAAATAAAAAACCCACAAAGTGCAAGAAGGCAAGGTAAAATCACAACAAAGAGCTGCCTTGCTTCCAAAATGGGATTTAGATGCAAAAACGCAAGACTGGGCTTGCTGTCTGTTTAGAGGAACTGAATAAAGATTAGGCTTATCCTGCCAACAGCCGTGGCTGGGAGCTCCTGTTCTCCAGAGCTGCTCTCAAGTCTCTGCCTTGGCCTTGTCTCACTTCCTGCCCACTGTTACAAAGACAGGAACTGCAGCCCATCATTGATGCAGCATCCCATGCTAGGCCAAAGTGAATGTAGGCTAAGGGCTGAGTTTTTTTATCCTTCACAAGCCTTAGTGGTAGATGATTCTGTAGCTGGTTATGCCTGGTTAGAAAGGGAGTGCTTGCTGGCAGGGCAAGTGGCAGCTAGTTGAGATAGCAAAGGGTGTGCTCTAGGGCAGAGGCAATCCTAGATGGATCTATGCTTGTTTGGAGTTTGCAGAGTGCCTAAAAACAAAACCGCAGAGAGGAGGGAGAGGGAAAAATGAAAACAAAACCACCAAAACCCACCCAACTAAGCAACTGCAGGCCAAACCAAAGTTTGGCTGGTTTTCAGGTTTAACTTTCATCTGCAGTCTATTACGAAAACAAAACTGGCAAGTTGCTATGAAGATTTAGTGTAATGCAGGCAGGAAGATGGTGAGGTTTAAAGGAAGCCTTAATTGAACCTGGTTTTAAAGCTTTGTGTACAGTGTTTTGTGAGCCTTGATTTAGCTTCCCTCTTTTGTTTACTTATTACATTTGTTCCTTACATCTTGTTTGAAATGCGATTGGAAGTTTTCAGGGTGTTTAAGCCACAGCAAGGCCCTGGTCCTGACATTAGACAGTTGATTGTAATGGTTGGGAAATAGGAGGAAAAATGCCACAAAAACACGATTATTTCTGGGGAGTAGTCTTGGCAGCCGTGTGACTTGGGCAGGCAAACTGACTCTGCTGTAGTCGTGGTCCAGTGCTGTTGTGGTTTAGGAAGAAAATTAGCCCAGCTAAAACCAGGACAAGTGCAGACCTGCCACTTCAGAAACAACTAATAATTGGACCTCCGTGTTTCTGTCCAGGAAGAAAGATGGTATGAATTCTGGACTTGAGATTTTTGAGGTGATTCTGCTCTTTATTCCACCACCTTTATACACAAGAATGGAGAATTTTATGGGTATCTCTGCCCAGCATAGACACCTTTTTCTGATGACATCTTCCTCTGAACTACCTGTAGTCAGGAATGAGAAACAGGCCCTTCTGAAGCATGGATCTTGGTCACCCCCATAGTACAGCCTGTTTATCTCCAGAGGGAATCTGGCCAAGTGGCTCAAAGACTCACAAGTCTGAAGTGCATCCTTTCCTAGGTCCTCACATGGCAGTGGAGGGTTGCTTTGCTCAGCACACTTTCTGCTAGTCTATAGATGGAACACCAGTGTCTTTCCCCCCCTCCCCTAATTTTTCATGAATGGGTTGGTAAATAGATTTACTGACACTTATCCTACATTTCTCAGGGTTGAAAAGTGACTCCTTTTCAGTGAAAGTTACTACTGTTTTAAAGGCAACACACTGAAATGTGGGAGAGGGGAAAGGTGGGCATGAGGGGGATTCTATGAATAAGTGGATTTAAAGCTGCTACTGCAGGGTACAGAAGAAAATCATTTACACAGGTGGTATGAAAGGATTGGCAAATATTTCTTGCCCCTTGGGATCATAGTTTGTGTTTGACTAATGCTTCATGAGTTTGGATTTTGGGCTAATGTTTTTCATTTTCTAGGGGTTTAATTTTTCCCATACATACACCTTTTCAGGTTTTTGGTGTTCTTGAGTCTCCTGAATTTTCCAGAATCTCTTCAGCTTTTAGACCAATAATTAAAGGTGAAAAAGATGACTCCAGTTCTCATCAGCATCTAATCAGTGAAAATGGTGCTAGTCAGAAGTCACCCTTGCTCCAGGCATTTGCCTCAAAAGCTGTGAGTGGGTCTCAGGCTGATGCACAGGTATGGGCAGTTGAGGTGGATTTGCTGGGATGGTGGAGGTGTAGATGGGGTTTCTGTCTAGATGGAGATATGATGTGTAAATTGATTTCCATTTTGAGGAGACTGAATGCTGTGTGTATGAGAGGAGAGATTTTTGTGGCTAGAATTTGGTTCAAAACCCCTCCTTCTGATACTACCTTCCCTACCTTGTTGTAGATGTCTGCAGCATCTCAAGGGAGTCAGAAGTGGGTGTCTAGGTGGGCAAGCCTTGCGGACAGTTACTCTGACTCTGGATCTGTCTCTGGGCAGGGTGATGGAGGTGCAGGTAAGTCTCATCCTGACATTCGTGTTCGAAGGTGGCTAAATCTAAACCAGGATGATAGAGAAAGCAGAAATTAAGGGCATCTGTGCATCTGGCCATGGCTTAGTTTCTGTTTTAGCGAATGTATTTGGGGATGGGAAGGACAGAGTGAATCTCTCCCAGTGGAGTAAAGATGGAGAAAGAGAGCTTCTGGTTTGCATTTCAGTGTGATCCAAGGTCTTAAATGTTAGGTTTAAAATGACTAAAGGGCATCTGGGAAGAAGAAGGATCGTAAGGGCCTTGGATGTCAACTACCCCTAAGTAGTGATTCTTTAGACTGCCTTATGATGCCAGATGAAAGCCCTGTGCAAGTTGCCTGGATTTGGTTGCTGACTTCTGGGGTTTTTCTGTGTGCTTCTCCTATATCTGGCTGTGCTGAGAATTTTAGGCAGTTTTTGGATTGGCCCAGTCATTAGACAGGTTTAAAGCATGGGATCAGATTAGAAAGCTGCATATAAAGGGGAGAAAGAGAGTGGGAGGGGATCAGGGTCTCATCATAGCTAAGAAGACAGCTTTACAGACACCATGGCCTGGTTGGTTTGTGAGAAAGGGAGAAGGGTGCTTTGTTGGCTTTTGTAAACCTTTTCAACATTTGCTTGGAAATACTTGTCATTGCCTTCTTGCCATCAACAGCTATAGATAGATTCAGTAAAGACTAGAAGAAACCTTTGTTTCAGAGGTCATTGCCACTGTTTTCGCACTGTGTGAGAACCTGACTCCTTGAATGTTTGAAATATTACCATAGTCAAATAACCAGTTATCCTAGTATTTAGAGGCAGAATCAGATACGAAGTCCTGGCAAGTGGTGTGTGAGACAGAAAAGGACTCTTTCTATAAAGTGTATCTGTTCTGCTAAGTCCACCCACTTTGGTAGTTAGCAATAATTTATAGTCTTTTAATTGTTATAGGGTCTTTCTCTTGAAGCTTTGCTGCTTGATATGATTGTATGAGAACGTGTGCTGTGAAAAACACCATCTATTTATGTGTTCAAAAGCCATGTAGATGAGGCCCTCAGAGATACAGTTTAGTGGTAGTCTTAGCAGTCCTGAGGTAATGGTTGGACTTCCTGATCTTAAAGGTCTTTTCCAACCTAGTTGATTTTACAAATCTATGAATGCTAAAATATTGCATTGCTGTAGTGGGTGTGTCTGATGGCCTTTCATCTCTTTTCTGTGGGCTTATTTATGGTAGATGGATGCCAGCGATGCTGTTAGAGGCTAAAGCATGTGCTAGTACTGAGAATATTATGGGAGAATTAATCTGAAATCCTGCCTTGAGAGAGGGAAGGTGTTGAGCACTCCGATACAGCAAAAGAATGAAGTATAGAGTCTGTATTGATAAACCGGAGGGAGTAGATACCATCCAGGCCCTACTAATGTTCATATTACGTAAAAGCTTAGTTCTAAGCACATATATTGTCAGTGCTTTTGTGGAGCTGAACTTTGCAGGATGAAGCTCTTCCTAAATAAATAAATAAGTGGTATAGTTGTATGACAATTGATTCTTGCCAACTTAACTCTTTTCCAGAAAATGGTGTAGCCCCAAAATCTGGGGAACCAGAAAACACTGTGCCCTTGAGAACAAGACGCCTTCTTCCCCAACTCCCACCAAATGATAAATCTAACAGTCCTACACCCACAGTCCTGGTTTGCCAGGAGTCCTGTTCTGAGGTTACCAAACGAACCATTGTGAAGGACCACTGCATGGAAGCCTATGGCGATGCCAGCAGCCGTCTCTTCATCCAAGAAGACTTGGATCCAGATAGCCTTAGTGATGCCAGCAGATCTGATGATGGCTTCAGCACAGAAAAAGGCAAGAAATATAAAGAGAACAATAAAATGCTAGAGCAGATGGGAGAAGACACAAGATCAGAGAGTCAGCAGTCAGGAGTCTCCCGAGTGTCAAATGTGAGAGCTGTAAGTGAGCCGGTTTCTACTTCATTCTACATTGGTGATGACAGCAACGAAGTGGGGATTCCCTCCAAGCTCTCTCTGAGCATGTCCCATGCTCGATCAGACAAAGACAGCAAGGATCAGGAGTTTTCCTTCAAGTCTGCTGGCACACCAGTTCCTGGAAAGTCGTCTGTCAAAGATGTTAGCGCTTATGTAAGTGCATCTGGAAAAGTAGTTATTTCCCTTCATCAGAGTCTTCCTCAAGATCAAGAAAACATGGCAGGAACGGAAGCATCATCTTTTGTTAGACAGGAAAGTTTTACCAAAGATAAATCTAGCAGTGGTGCTCCTCAAAATAAACTCCCACATATTTCAAGTCACCCTCTACTTAAAGATTTAGAGGCTGTTCGGTCAACTCGTATGGACTTTGGTCAGGAGACTCACCTTCTCCTTAAGGACACTGAAACTGCTTTGGCAGCACTGGAAGCCAAATTACTTGGTCAAAGCCAACAGTTGGAGCCCTTGGAAACTGCTGGTCAGCTGGAGGACTCTTTGTCTGGGGACTCGGATGTGGATACTGCCAGCACAGTCAGCATGGTGAGTGGCAAAAATGTCCCAACAACTGCCCCGAAACGCAAAGTGATTGCGAGCTTGCAGAAGGAAAAATCTTCCTCCACGCCGTCCATCCAGGACCAGTGTGGGCAGCCCACAGCTCGGGACAGACTGACAGAGAAGCAGAAGACACAAGCACCAGAGGCATTAAACCGCATGGAGGCTGCCAAACGCTTCCAGATGAAGCGCAGTGCTGGGACTCGAGGGTCTCTTGACTTCACAGATGATGAGAGAAGCTCAGGCTTGCCCTACTTGCCCGTTCCTGATGCAGTTGTGTCTGACCATGAGCACCCTGTAACCCGTCAGGTTCCCAGAAGAAAACCTTTTACTCAGGCCATCAAGGAGGACCACAGCAAAACAACCTCCAATGTGCAGAAAATCCAGCAAGTCCTCACCCGCTCTAACAGTTTATCCACCCCGCGACCCACAAGGGCCTCGAAGCTACGTCGTGCCCGACTGGGAGATGCCTCAGATAATGAATGTGTCGATACTGAGAAAACAACTTCCAACCCTGAAGCCACTGCTTCTGGCCCCAAGCAGTCCACAGAGACAAAGAAGCTCTCCCGGCTGGACATCCTCGCAATGCCAAGGAAAAGGGCAGGTTCATTTACAGTGCCCAGTGACTCTGAGACGGCACAGGCGAGGACGGGGTTTTCTGGCCGGAGTGTGGAGTCCTATCGGAAGACGGGTGTTTCAGATGTTAGAGCTGTGGCGAGGAAAATGGCAGCCGCTGCCTCTGCAAAGCAGCCTCTCAACAGGGCCCGTTCAAGCAGTGTCAAGTATTCCTCCTCATCTGGTAAGTGCTCTTGCTTTATATTTCTCCCCTTTCCCCTCTTTCTGATTTATAGGCTGTATGTGGTTGCCAAGGATTGGTATCTTGGTAATACAAGTGCTGCATCAGTGAGTACAAAGTCTGCATTAACAGGCAGTATGGAGGTTGACTTCCTGTGGGATTGAAGACACCAGAGCATCTCTCATACCCTGTGAGATATTTTTGTGGTGGTGTCTGTGAGAATATTGCAAATAGTTTTGTTTTTTTTTTCCCCTTCTGTTTCACAGAAGCGTGTTAACAATTTAAAGAGATAGAATTTAATGCACTTTCCAGTGCCACTAGGAATCCTAGTTTTCATTAACTTCTAAGATTAAAAGTTTGCTCCCAGAGAGCTTGGTTAGTGTTAATGACAGCTGATGTCCAAGGTGGCAGGTTTGAAGGCATCTGAAACAGGAGAACAAGAAATAAATGTCCCTGTGTTGTTATTCCTGTAAGAGCAAATGTGGAGCTGACAGTACATGTTGATTGCCCCAAGGGATTCCCATTACTGTGTATTTTCATTCACTTCTGCTGTAGGTAAGGGAGGTGCACAGTTGTGTTACCCACAAGGCAGAGGTCTGGGGGGGCTGTCTTGCCCAGTAGCTATGCACTCAGCAGACTCTTGCAATATCAACGTTTGTCATATAGAAATCAGCCTTTAGTTAAGAGATGGGAACAATGCAGATGGCAACTCTAAGGTGGTAATTGGTAATCAGAGGTTGTCTCTGTGACACCTTTGGTCTAAGTCCTGGTCTATGCTTGTAGTCCTTGACCTACCATGGATGTGGCAAAGCAGCGTCTGTTTAGGATTTTAGGAATGAGGGGGGCCAAAGGGACAGGAAGAAGCCTTTTGGCTGATTTCTTGGGCCTGTTGAAAGGAATGCTATTTTCAACAGAACTGTGTTTTTGAAGGGGTCTTACAGTTCTGGTTGTGTCCTTTTCATGCATTTTCATACAGCTGAAATAATTATTCTTTTTGCATTATTTGTTTTTATTGCATGCTAAAAATGTTACTTGCTGCTTGTTTTGATTTGGATTGTTTTAGTGCATCCAGCTTCCTTTTTTATTTTGATGATTTTTTTTTTTCCTGACACATTTGTATATGCATGTAGATCAGAACATGAATAAGCTAAAAGAGTATGTACAGTTTCTTCTCTTGCCTTTTTTGAGCTGATGCTAGTACTGATTTGTTGTTAAACAATAACAAATTTAAAGCAAAATAATGTGGTTAGAGTTTTCCAAACAGGAGGCACTCTTTGCACTCCCTCTGCCTTTGGACCACAGACTTCAAATCATTCGGAGAAAAATGATAAGTGTTGGCCAGTTCTTTGTTTAAATGAATTGGTTTTTTATTTCTATAACTCCGTAATAGCATGCTAACACCTTCCTTGTCCATAGTTGCAGCAGATGATGCTAATCCTTTCTCTGAATTAGTTGCTTTTAAAATACTAACCTCCTAATTCCTTGATAGGACTATGGACCTTGTGCATCCTAGTGTGCTTCATGCTTCATTGTGTTGTACCAAGTGTGATGTGTGTGCCAGTAGTAATGCTATTATAGATGTAGTGAATCATCACCTAGCACCGTGTTCCTGTGAAGTGAAATATTGATAAACTGAGCTATTGCACTGTGCCATCAAGACATTTTTTAGGTTGACACAATAACCCTTAAAAGCATTGAGTGTTAAGCCTTGGGAGCAAGGAAGCAAATGTAGCTGATTTATTCAAAGATTTCTTAAAGTGTTTAGCTAACCACAGTAGTTCCCAACTGTCCCAGTGGGAGAAAGTTAATCTTGCTAACGGAGGAACAGAATGAACTGTCCAGTCATGAGGCAAGATATGCCGGTAGATTCTTGGGCCATCTGAAATAACTTCATGTGAAATGCACAGATAACATCAGAATAATCCAAGTTACCAATTCTGAAAGCTAAGGGCCTGTCTCCTATGCTCCTTTGAGTACATGATTTGTTTACCCCATGTAATTTGAATGGTACTGAGGGAGTTGATTCTGCTTTCCTTTGGCATAGAGGAGTGGAAAATCAGGCTCTTGAATTCAAAATTGCTGTTCAGTGAGAGAGGATGACCTCTTGATTCTAAACCTGTATTTGAAAAAAAACCCAAACATCTCTGCAGATGGAATATGACATAATATATTTTTCTGTGTGTATATACACATAAACCTTAACCCAAGACATTTATATAGCTATAGCTAAGATAGCAATGTCTAGGAATACTTTTTTCACTATACAGTAGTAATCTGTAGTTTCTACCTATATTTTATATGCCAAATTTGTTACTTTTGTTTGTATGATCTATGATGCTGGCTTAATTTGCTTGCAATATTTCTGTGTTATGATAAGCTTGGTAACATGGTGAAGCATTTAGGTGTTGTAATACTAAATAACTTGTCTGGTTCTGTGTTTGGTGGGTCTTCATTCTCCATGGAAGGGCAGAAGGGAATGAAGTATCTGTAGAGAGTGTAGTGAGGCACCAAACACCAGGAGCCCAGTTTTCAAATGATAATCTTGATACTTCCCATGCAAGGAGGACCTGGCTGTCTGTAGATCTTCAGAAACAGTTGGGATAAGTGAGCAGCTTCCACTTGGCTTCAAGGGTTGGAACCAGTCCTGACTGTGTGAACAGTCATTAATGTGAATTGTGAGGCAGGAGGTCAGTGCTGGTGTTTGGACTCCAGCAAATAACACCAACCACCACAATCTGTTCTTCACTCAAAACCCCTTTTGCTTGTAGTTGCAGCTAACGGGAAGGGTGTCTGCAGGCTTGAAAATTTGTCTCTTTTTGGAAAAGGACTTCTGTGGGTCTGTGAAGTGTCTGAAATGTGATCTACTGACACACAGAGCTTCTGTGCACATAAAGCCAAGTCTATGGTAATGATTTACTACACTGGAGTGAACACAGTCATTTTACTTTTCCATTGGAATTTTCTACTCCAAATTTGTGTAGGGAATGTGAGCCATAGAAGTGCTCAACTTTGAAGTTAGCTCTGAGAATGTGCTGTTTATCTTAATCTGCACAGAAACTCTGCTTTCCTTGTGCTCTTGGGCTAGTTTTGTGTTACCTTTTTGCCCTTTTGTAGTTACTCTTTACTGCCTTCCTCTATCTGAAACCAATTCATTTTTTGTAAGCGTCAAGGCGGAGACCACAGGGTTCAGATTACACTTCTACTTCGGAGGAGGAATATGGCTCAAATCACAGCTCCCCTAAACACAAACGCTCCCATACTTCAACAGCCACACAAACACCGAGGATACGTGGCTCTGGGCTGAGCAAGCAGAAGCACAATGGCAGAGAAACAGATGATGATGAAGAATTTGATGACCATCCTGACCCCTACAACTTCATGGCGCAAACAGCAGAGATAGCAGAAATAGCCAGGTGAGGTGGAGCTTTATGTATTGACCCACATGTTGAAAATGAGTGGAGTTCTTCTTGGTGTCCAAATCAAACCCAGGTGCAGAGGTAGGAGAGGCACTCTCTCCTGTTTGCGTGCTCTCTGTCTGCTTCATATCTGAACATTGACTTGTTCAGACTTGGCAGGTTTTTATGAAACCTGTAGCCTGTGCAAGGATGTGCTCGTTGTACCTTCTCTGTAGAAAATGCCAAGGTGCAGGACATTTTATTTCGGTTTGTTTCTTGTTCAAGCTGTGGATAGGCCTTCTTGTAGTCTGAAGTCTGTCAAGATGTAACTGTCTATACCTGCTTACCTCTGCTTTTTACTGGAAGTCACTGTGTGTGCATGGAGCAGTTGGTGTGAACTGTCCTAATTCTCTTGCAGAGGAAATCAAATGGATTAGCAAAGACTGAATATGTAGACTGTTAAAGCTGCTTTGCCTGAAGCCATTAAGGGAGCAGTAAGCAGTCACTGCAGGGCAGAAACCTTTTTGCTTGGCACAGCTGAATCCAAATCTGTCTAGGCCTTGTGTAAAAATGAGTCATTGCTTAGCTTGATATTCCTGGATACGAGGAGCTATTGTATACTGGTGGTCTGAAGGTTGCCTGGAGGACCTCAGCAGTAAAACAAATAGATTCTTTTTTTAAACAGTGGCATTTGAGGTTTGACATCTCTAATATACAACTGTGTTATGCCAACTTTCCAGAAATACTGGTCTTCCATTGTACTGGCCATACTTGAAATACTTCTGACTGAGGAGGCTGTCTCCTGTCTACTTTTGGTCAGCAGTTCCACATCACCCATATTGCTTGCTGCACTGATCTCAAAAGGGCTTTTTTTGCCTGAATGTTGCTGACAAGCTGCTGGAAAGTGTGTCAGCCTTCAAATAAGGCTTTGTTACCTGTGCCGCACGAAGTGTGCATGCGGGGGATGCTGGCTTTCCTCCTTGAAGCATTCCTGGCGCAGGAGAGCGCTTCGGGTTGCAGCAGCTATAAATATATGGTTGCATCAGACTTGTCTGGCACTGCACATTGCAGGGCTCGGTCACAGAGTCTGCTTCATAATTGCAGTTCTGATTTCCGTTGCTGCTCCCAGATTAACTGGGAGGGGTGTAGAAGAGTCAGGGAGAGTTGAAAGGGAAAATGCCACTTGCTTACAATAAGTGAATCATGCAATGGATGTGTTTGGTGGCAGCTCTATCAAAACCAGCACAGATAGGGGGCACCTTAGGCAGGCAGATCAAATTGCTTTTTATTAGTTCGATTATGCATTTTCTTTCCGAGGAAATGTTTTGATGAACTGACAGTTTTATCACATTGCTTGGTTCTCTTCAGTTAAAGAAGAAAGTGTCTTTCAGATGAAGCTGGCTAGCTGTAAGATTGTCTTTTTTTCTCTCAGAAGCGTTTCTTTAAAGTTACCACAATGGCTACCTTTGGTCTGAAAGGGTTTTTTGGTAACCTCTGCTAGCAACAATCCAGAGACTTAAAACTGTTTTTGAGATGTAGAGCAGAGTGCTGCAATCAGAGTGTTAACTGGACACCTGTCAGGGTGCTCGAAGTTTCAAGACTTGGTTTCCAACAAGATCCCTCTAAGGTATGCTTTGGTTAGCCTGGTAATCCCTCAGTCCTTCTGGAGAAGCTGGAAACATATTTCAATATATAGTCTATAAACCATGAGGAAAAGTGAAAGAGCGTTTGAATTCTTACTATTTGAATAACAAAGTAAAAAACTTTCCTTGTATTTGTAAGGGAAAACAAAGAAGTCCCAAGAAGAAAAATGTCTGTATTCTATAAAAAAGAAAAAAAAAAGAAGCAGAGTGGATAGGTGAGGGAGCAGTAACATACAGGCTCCTTATGGATTGTCTCCAATACATTCTGGTAGAATGTAGTCACTAGAATTTGCTTTTTATCAAATCTCTGCTTTGAAGCTGGGTTCAGGAGGGGAGTAGATTTGCTTTGTATGCAGCCAGAGTGCTCCTCAGTGCCCTGCTAAGATGCCCAAAAAAGCCTCTTCATTTCCTAACCTATGCAGGGTTACAGTTCCCACAAACTTTTTGTGGTTGTTCTTTTTATATTTTATGAGTGTGAGGCTTGCTGTATCATGTGTCCTAATGGCTCTACTGTATGCCCTGTGCGTTAGGCTCAGCCAAACCTTGGTTAAGGATGTGGCCATCCTTGCTCGGGAGATTCATGATGTTGCTGGAGATGGGGACTCGCAGAGTTCATCGGGAACAGGACCAAGCACCTCCCTCAGCTCTATGCCCAACACTCCTGCTTCTACCATATCAGCGAGAGAAGAGGTAAGAACTCAGACAACAGAAATGCTAGTAAGTATACGGGGCATGGTTGTGATAGGAGACCAGGACAGCATCTCCAGTTGCTGCAGCATTGAAAAACCTTCATCTCCTGTCCTAAAAAACATCAGCGTAAAGATTGCAGTTTATTTAGAGCACTCTTTATTTTGCCCTCCTCTGTGTCACAGCCAGCACTGCAAGAGGTGAAAGTCATGTTATTTCTTAAGGATCTCATGTTGGACTGAGATCATGGAAGTCGTGTTATTTCTTAAGGATCTCATGTTTGACATCCATGCCTCTAGTTGGACTTTGGTCCCTGAAGTCTGCATCTGAAGAACAGGATGGTCTGGGTGTGCTACACTACTGTGCTAGGGATCCAGAGTTTCCCTCCTTGTTTCAGACAAGGCACAGACCATGTACTCTGGCTGCACGCTCTGTATGGGTTGTATTTTGTACCTCTACTGTGTCCTTTCTCCCAGAGCTGTTGAAACTCTGTGCAGGATTCCTTGAATCCCTTTCCCCAGCTGTGCATTGATGGGTGAGAGCAGGGACTCTGCTCTCCAGTGAGTGAGTTAGGCAAAAAGGAATGCAGTTAGTTTGGGAAGTGCTGTCTCCAGCTCTTCAGTGAAGCTGTGGCTTCTTCCTGAACTGTGTCTGCACTGGAGTGGGAATGAGAGAAGTGATTTCTTAATTTGGCTTACTAGTGCCACAGCACAGGGACTCAGCTCAAACTTGACAGCAAGGTCACCAGGAGGTTCCAGCTGCTAAAGCAAAATTGGTTTTGTTGCTGTGTAAACCCCACATCCCTCCTGTCTACCACCAGTGTGGGCTTAAAAAAATGCACATCTCTCTTCATTAGCTTCATTAGTTCAGATGTGCCTCTTTGTCCTCTCTTGGTTTTGACTGCTGAGAGAAGTGCAGACCTGTCCTACGCAGTATTCAGAATTGAGGACCAAACCTGTTACCCTGCCAGAGAGTACTTGGAGGCCCTGTGACCCTGCTGTGATCATCACTGAAGATGCAAAGCAGAAAATTAGGGAGATATCCAAAAGATCAGGCAAGGGTGGCTAATGAGGTCATTTGTAGCCTGCTCAGGGAGGTGTTTTATCCCGGGGCTGTTCAGAGCCACAGTACACAAATGTTTTGCAATAACTCCAGGCTTTGAGGGAGTGTTTTATTGCTTTGTTTCCTTGCAAGTGGCACACCTGCAAAACTGCCTTTTTGAGCACTTAAGGTGACAAATCTAGTTTACTTCTGACTTGCAAATGAAACATTTGCTGTAGGTTGGTAATGACCAGTACTTGGCACTCACTTCCTTCCAGGGTACCTACTTTATTTTTGTGAGTGCCACTGAAGGGTACAGCCATAAGTCAGCTCATACAGAGGGATATGTCCTCTGCTGCTAAAGGAACATCTTTAAAACCGTGTTTCTACTCTGTGCAAAGCAGTGGTCTCCAAAGTGCATGGTTGTGATGATGAGTGCTAGGAGCACAAAGCCAGAATTGCTCAGATCCAGAATTGAGGGTTTCTCTGTGATGTGGCTTTGCAGCTGCTCTATGGAACATACGAGTCAGCCCCCTTGCAATAAATAGTCAGGAGAGCAAAATTAGGATTGTGTCTTGATGTAGTTAGTGCTCCCCCCGGTATCCACTGCTATAGAGTAGTTTCTGAGTTCTTACAGGGTGTAAAGGAAGAAGCACAGGTAGGGGCCTATGAAGGCCTCTATAGGTCAGGAGCCATAACCTTTGGTGTGTTCACCTAGTGTTCTTTTTTAAGTGGACTCAGGTTTAGATAGCACTATGGTTTTCAGCAGGGCCAGTGGCTGAGAGGCCATTTGAATTACACCCAAAATGCCACCATGCATCAGTGGAGCTGCCTCATGTTAGTTGGTAGTCAGAAAGAGGTTAAATCAGCAGGACTTATACTGACAATGCTGAGATGTAAAGCTGGATCCTGAATGGTGCATCTTGGGGGTCATGTTCTGAATGGGAGCAATATAAACTAATGTGGGTTTAATAAACGTATTTCTTCTTTGGAGCTGGACTAGAATCAGCAGGCATGCTTCCCTCAGCTTACATGCTGCTGGATCTGTGCTAAAATAGTTATTTTGGCTTAATGCATGGAAGTTGCTAGGAAACATTTGAATATCAGTGTATATGATGCTAAGCACTGTGATTTTTTTTTTTTTTGAGTGTTTAATAAAGTAGTTTATATTAAATATTCTAGGAGAGGACATAGTGATGAGAATAGCTACAATAGTTACAACAGTAATGTACTGAAACATCTGATAAAAGGAAGTCTGTGACTAAGAAATGTTTGCTGTGTGTGACTGTCTCTTGTACTGTGCTGGCTCTTGCAGTATTGTATGCCATTCTGCTGGCTCTTGATTTAGTACTACTAAATATTGATACTTGTTCTAACAATGTGGGGGAAAAAGCAGAGCTTAATGCCATAGCAGAAGGTTCACTTTGGACCAGTGTGTGGCATTTCTCAGCCTTAAATGAGTTGCCTCTTAAAATACTTCTATCGCAAAGCTTGGTTAAAGATTAAAATCATATGTGTTCTCTTCAAAGTTATGATGGAGCCTTAGATTTAATCCTTATTCTTCATGTTCTGTTCTTTCAGGTCTGGTGTTGTCTTGGATGTTTGTGAGGGAGGTTTTCAGTTTCCCCAGTGCATGTTTCGGTTGGTTTTGGTTTTGTAGGCTCAGCTGTATAGTTTATAATAATCTAAATTCTTGGCATGCTGAGCTGACTGTTGCTACAAACTAAGAAAAAAAACCCCAAACAAATCCCAAACAAAACATGAAAATTATTCAGCAGGGTGAAACCTTGATGATACCTGTTTACCAAAGTCACAGGTTGCTTGGGATGCCTTGGGTTGTGGGTGTGTAGGCTTTGTAGGACCCAGCCTTCTGCAGAGCAGAGCAATCAAACTGAGCACAGCTGCTGCAAACAGTCTAGTAGGTCAATCCAAATCACTGGCCACTTCTGTATATTTTAGCCCTGTGTGAAATTCTTTTGGTTGGTCTTATTTATAAGTTGATACAGCTAAAACTGAAGAGCCCAATTACATTTGTTAAGTTGTTGCTTAATGTAATCAGTATGAGTATTGGTATGACAGGAGGAAATGCTTTCACGTGTGGCAGAACAGAAAACATGAGAAGAGACCAGGTCACATATGAAACTCAAGGTGATGGTAGAGCAGGTGCTGTTCCTACTGTGTTTTTAACTGGTTGTGGTGAGAACTGCTGGACTGGAGGAATATCTCATTCCCTTCTGATGCTGTTTGACTGCTTCAGGCAGTTTCTGCACTTCATGAAAAGATGTTTAGCTAATAAGCTTCTTATAAGCTGCTTCTTCTAATAAGCTTCTCTTTTTAAGCGTTTTGACTGTTGTGCTCCTATACCATAATATCTCATACCTTCTGCCTGTGTATAACCCAAGTGCTATTGCATTGTGGGGAGACTGGACCTTGGATGGCACATGGTTTCCTCACAAGAGCTGTGTGCTTTGCCAGTGAAAGAGCCTCCTGGGCTGTATGTTTAACCCATTCTCTGTGCTTGGAGGGCTGCTGGATTTCACTCAGTCCATTTCAAAGTAACTGGGGAGCTGCCCAAGACCACCCCTGCAGAGCTAGTTGGTTACCAGGACTTCCATGGGCTTCAGTGCATGTGTGAGGGTGGGCATTGAGTGTTGGTCCTCAGGAATGCCACTTTTGGGAATGTCAACCCAAAATAACCCCAAACCATGTGTTCTCTTTGATACTTGCTGTCACAGCCATTCACTAGCATTGATCTCTTTGTTTCTGTTTTAACACAGATTGCTCGTAGATCTTTTCGGCTGGCATATCCATCTCAGGTGCACTTTCCATCCCATTATTTTTGTATCTCTGTCTTGTCACTGTTATTTTCCTCCCCTTTTTAGAGTTTCTGTCTGTCAGTCAACCACACAGGAGTAGCTGTCTTGTCTTTTCTGTTCTTCCTGTTAATTATTTCCATTATCAGTGGGTTTGTAGTGCTTTTTCATCTCTTCCATGTGTTACTAAATGGTTTCTGAATGATTTTAATGTGGCTTTAATGTTGCATTGATATGTTAAAACATAAGATACGGGAAAACATGTCCTTTTTGGGTTTTAGCTAAAATAAAAAAGGCAAAGATGTACTTTTCAAATACTTGCTCAAAAATCAAAATTATAAAGTGAAATAGCCCCACTGAGTTTCATATGATGACTGCAGTGGGTAGACGCTTGCAGGATTGGGGTCTAGTAATTTGCTTAGGAACCCATACCTGTCTGAAAAAGACTTAAATGAATCAGTGTTCCTCTGGGGCTTGACTAAAAATCTGCAATACCTGCAGTGAGTGCCTGTGTGCCTCCTTCCCTACTAATTTTTAATGACTCATTACTCATTATTTCCAAGTTGGTGCAGCACATTCCAGAAGCAAGTCTGAACTACCAGAAAGTGCCTCCAGGATCAGTGGAACTGAAGGATTTTGACCAAAATATGAATGATAATAGAGAAGAGGATCCCTCAAGAAAAACAAGGACAAGAAACCGTGAGGAGGCAGGCCACCTTTTTCTTTACATTATATATGACATTGGTTTAAGCTGCAGTATGTATAGCTGCTCTTTCTAAGCTGCCAAAGGCTGCTACTCCAAAAAAAAAAGAAAAAAGCACTTCTCAAGAGCTCTGACTTGCAGGTTGTAGGCACAGTGTTTAAAAAAGAAAGGAATGGAATCACCCTTCTTGCCAATACCGACTGAAAGTTTCTTCTTTGTTTGGGAGAAGGCATTCAATGTCAGAACCCACGTAAGCTATTTCACTGCTATTTTATAGAAAAATACAAAAATGTCAACTTTGGAATCTGCAGCACTGATAGTTTAATGGCGCCTTACTTTTCTGTAACTTGAATCCTGGTTAGTGCTGCCCATGGAGGAGCAGTGGCAGAATGTGGACCTTCTACAGGAGGTCTACAAGGAGTTTCTGCAGCTGGGCTTGAGCGCTGCATTGCTCCCTACAAGGTATACAATTTGATGCAGTTCTTCAGGGCTGAGAGAGCAGGGTAACGTGGAAATCACTGGGATGATGCTAAAGGGTGAGAAGGCCTGGTCTGAATATTGAGGCTGGGAATGGTGTTGGCGTGAGGGGTATAGCGGGGTGATGGTGCTGGAGAGCAGAGGAACAATACTTGGCTGTTGCTTCTGCTTACTTTCTCTGACTAAGGTGGAAGAGCTGGAGCAGACTCCAGGGAGGCACTGCAGGCAGGAGGGGAGGGCTGGGCTCCAGCACAGTCACTCTGGAAATGGAATATGATTTAGACAGGCAGATGAAGGGGGAACTTGGGCTGAGCACTGGTACTGATCCTGCCAGTGACTGACTTCAAGCATTCTCTCCCTCGCCTGAGGCTGAATAAAAGGTGCAAGTTCAGAGAGTCCCCAGCTGAATTGGGCCTTCCTGGCAGAACCCCAGGGGCTCTGCTGAGCCACGGGACTTGAATATTTGGGTTTTGGTGGTTTTTCTGTTGTGTTTAATAAAGCAGAATGTTACGTGGTGGGATGCCTGGCTGTGGAGGTGGCTTGAACTCATATAAATTATATTAGATGTGTTCAGTGAGACTGCTTGTGTATTTTCTTGCATTGTGATTAGGCATTTTGGGTTGGGGAAAGCAGGGTGGAGGGTAGGGGCTGAGGTGCTTGTGAGACTTGGGAAGTCTTAAGCATGTTCTTTCAGAAATGCTTAAATAGTAACATTACTGCAGATAACTCCGTCTCTCCGTCAAGTCTGAATAAATTAGTATTGATCTTTTTGTGGAAGTGCTACAACAAAGCTGCACATCATCTTAATCTCCCTTGAGCTTCAAGTATCATCCACATAGATGAAGATGTTTCAGTGGAGATCATTTACTGTAAAAAAATAAAAAATCCGGTTTTGTAATATGCCACTTCTGCTAAATGTTCTTTGATTTGTCCTTACATACTAGGTAATCTTTGACAATCTGATGTTGAACCCAGTGTCCCAGTTATCACATACAATCCGTGAAAATACAGAAAACCTTGCTGAAAAAATGAAGTAAGTGAGTTTGTCTCTGGCCTGAAATGTTGACTTGCTGCTGAGTTTGTTGGCTTGCTACTTGTGGAAGATAATGCGTTGTTGCCTTGAAAACGCTTGTTATCATGATGCAGGGAATCTAGATGTGGGAAACTCTGTATGTAGCACAGAGTAGTATGGTAATTGTGTACTACTTTTGTAGTACAGAACTGGGGTAATAAGATTATTTGCCATCTCTTTTCCTCATTTGGCCTTTGGAATTTTAATGTTGGATTTGTAATTCCTGTTAATGCCTGTTGATGCCTTAACTTCAAAATGTTGTCTGTACAAAGATACAGCAGGAAATTGGTGGATTGTCTCTTTCCTTCTCTGTCCCAAGGCTCTCAGAAGGCCTGCAGGTCACTAAGCTTGTGAAATCTCTTCAAAGCTTCTTGTTGCTCTAGGAGACATCAATTAGGGAAGGACTTCGGATTGTCCCTAAATCAGATGAAAGATGCTTTGTCCAGTTGCTAATCCACTAATCTCCTTTGTTCCTACATGTTGTGATAATTAAGTCATTTAAACAAGTAGCTTCTGGATGACAATTTTAAGACTTTCTTCACTTCTTGTACTGCAGGATTCTGTTTCAAAACTCAGAAAGGACCTGGGAGGAGATGGAGGCCAAAATTAATTCAGAAAATGAAGTGCCAATTCTGAAAACTTCAAACAAGGTAAGACCATGCAGACAAGTCATACTGAAGGCTTTTGGTTGTGGAGGCTTTGTAAGAAGCCTAAACAAGCTCTGGCTCTTCTCATATCCATTTCTGAACTTTCCAGTCCTTTTCCATATGTTGAGCTACTGGGTTTTTCTTGCTGTTTGAAGTGTGGCAAAGTAAGTTCTTTCAGCTGTTGTGTTTCACTGAACTCTTCCCCTCTCCCTTTGTGATTCATCTTCAAAGATCCTTAACAGAAGTTCAAGTTCAGGGTTGTTAGGCCTAATTTAAACAACGAAGTATTGCTTACCATTCAGTTGACACAGCTTCAGTTGTAGATAGGTGTTTCTTGTGAATGGTTATTTTCTTTATTTGTAACAGTTTGATAATAGGATAATTAAAAAGCCTCAGCCCTAAGGTGGTGTTTGTGTTGTTACAGTGTCTTACTGTCCTTGATGGGGACTGCCAGTGGGGATTTAAGTACAGTGGTGGACTTAGCAAATATAGTTAATGCTATGCCTACAAATAACACTGTGCAGGACCTGTGTAGCTTGGTGCTACAGCAGTATACGTGTGGCCAACTGCTTTGTCTGATCTGGGAGCTGAATTTACAAATACCGTTGTGTATTTGGTATTAAGGAGGCTATGGAGGAGTCTTTGCACAATTAATCTGGCTAGCATTTCAAATCTGAAAACCAGTGTAGCTGTGAACTGGGTGGTGGTGTAGTACTTAGTGAAATGATGCAGAGCAGAGGGCCCTGTGCACTGGCCAGATACACCTAGGTACAGGTACTAGCTTTGTCTTTTGTGTTAAACAAGCAAGGCTGGAACTGACTTTGAGCCTTACTATCAGGTAAGGCAGAAAGAATAAGACTAGATTTCCATGTCAGTTGAGTACTTGTTTAATTTTCCATTCTGATGCTTTTGTTTGTAGGAAATCAGTTCTATCCTGAAGGAGCTCAGGAGAGTTCAAAAACAGCTTGAAGGTTGGTTATTTAAAATGTTTTTTCTCACTCAAATGCCAGTATGTTGGACAAAATAATGTGGCTTGATGTGCCTATGAAAGCTGGGAAAGGATGCAGAAGTTTAGTTTGTTAGCAGAGTGCTCTCTGATGAGTGCATATGGAATGAACAGTAGATTTATCTTGTGCTGCCAATTTTGAAGAAGATTGTTGACTTTAAAGTGTGGAAGTTGTTGCTATGGAAACGCTTTGTGGGAATTAACATATTTCTATATGATTAACTGACAAAAGCCTGTTCTGCTGAAACAGTATTTAGCAGCTCATTCAGCCAATGGGCTCTGCTATGCTTTTTGGACTTGAATTTTGCACGTAGAGCTCTGTGTGACATAAAAGGCAAGACAAGCTCGTGCATCATCTAGAAGCTTGATAAAGACATACAAAAACATAGAGGTGACATTTTGGGCTCCTACTAAAAGCTTGCCATTTGGCTGCTGTAGATTGTCTTTTCCAATTTAACCAGAAAGTCGAATGTTCTCATAGCTTCAGTTTCGGAGAGGTCTTGCTGCTTAGGCCTGAAGCTACTAATGAGGAAAATGCCAAAATCAACACAAGTGCTGCCTACAGTGCCTACAGAAGGCACCAACCTTATGTTTAGAAACTCTGCTGAGTGCTGCTAATAAGTCTGTATATGTTTTATTGTTTTGTTGTTGTTTTTTTTTTTTTCTTCCTTCCTTCCCCCAGTCATAAACGCAATCATTGACCCTACTGGAAACTTGGATGTAGTTGCCAGTAACAAAGCATCTGCTGCTGCTAAACAATCTACAGCCACTAAAGTCAGGACTGCTAACAATTCTGGGTCGACACTGGAGACTTTGTCTGCAGCACAGATGAGAAACTACACGCAGAAATCGAACTGTGGGTCTTCTAGCTTACAAGATTCGAATTTCATTCCAGATGGAGAGAAATATGTGATCTGATAGAATATTTTATATTGCTATCATATTGTATTCTACTGTTGCATTAGTATTGTGTATGAGTGGTTTGTGGACGGTTTGTGTGGAGCAGTTGTTTAGATTGCTAACACGTTGCACAAAAAAAATAATCTATGCTGTGAGGGTGGATGGAAGGTCTGTGTATGCCTTTTAAACAAGACTAGCACTGTGGAGCAGCACATATTCAGCATAGAGGCAAACTGATTTTTGGAAAATTACTCGCTACTTCTTCCAGTGTGCCATAAGAAAACAGGCTTTGCACATGCTCCATCCAATACTGTAGAAGATAAAGTGTTGTTGCATTGACCTGTTCATAATTTTTCAGTTGTAATGAGGTGCAATTTTAAAAACACTCTTTTTGGTACTATACTTGTTTTGGTTTTATTTGTTTTTCTTTTTTTTAAGTGTACAAGTGAAGCATAACAACTCTCTTGGAATCAATGTGCAAATCCAACAGAATGATCGTGCAATATCATGGGTTTCTGTTTGAAACTCTTAGTGCAGTTGTGTGAGAAGCCATAAAAAGGCAACCACAGTGAAGCTGTGCATCCTTTTCAGTCCAGGACCCAAACCAGAACAGAATAAACTATTTTTTTTTTCCTCTATGGAAAGTGTAAAAGTTAATACTGATAGGAATGTAAAGACTACTAATACAGTTACTATTTTTGATGATCTTTCAGGCCCAGAGTTTGGGGTAGGTACAAAAAGTCAGATTTTACAGTTTAGCTTGCCAAATTTTCATGACTTTGGTACAAATGCTGTCTTTAAGCTGCTTTTTGGTTTTGATTGTTTTGAAACAAATCAAACCCCCCCCCTTTACATATACAACCTTTTACAATGAGCTACAAATGCTCTTGGCTGAGCTGAAGACTAAAATATTGTGATTAGCTAAGAAAAACATCTGTTCCAATGGCTCATGCAATAAACGTAATTGTGCAGTTGCTGTGAACTAGTGTTCACTGACAGCACTGAAAAAAATGATGGCTTAAAATGTAGCTTCACCTTTTATGGCTAGTTCTGTTATGAGTCTTTTTCAATGCAAAAGTGCTTGAAGACCATCATTCTGTGGTATTCTTCAGATACTGTTCAACAGTGTCAGGCACTTGGTACATTTGGCATTTTTGTCTGCATTTTGGTTTTGGTCTGTTAATATCCTAGAAACACTAAGGGTTATGAGCAGTTGCACTGAGCAATTTCTTGTTTAAAACCAGCTAGTTTTTTGTATTCTTTCTGCTAAACTGCAGGACACTTAAGCAATTTTTGTGGCTTGAAGAACTAAGTTTTTTTCGTTTTTTTTTTTAGGGGGCCTCTTCCAGATGTGTTTGCTCCCAGTTTTTTCAGTCTTGTATCAATTCCTTTTTCATTCTTCCTGGTCAATAAAAAGTAATTGGGTAAATGAGTTCTTTTGTAGCTGACGACGATACCTTTACTGGGAAAGGTGAGCAGATGAGTTCCACTTTGCCCTCATACAGTGCATAGTTTAACTAGTGAAAATGGTTTCCCAAGCTTGACTGCTTCTTGTGTGCTGACTTCATATTTTGGGGGTGGGTAGTGGATTCTTTAGTTAGCTTCAGTAGTTACCTGAGCTTTTCTGCTAGAATGTTGTAACAGTGGGAACCTGTTAAAATTATTTAAATAAATAGGGATACTCACAAAGTGTTTAATCTTACTAGCCAAGATCGTGATGGCTTTTCTGGTGATGCCAGTGTGAGTTGTCTATCAATTCAGCAGTAACAGGATCAGTCCCAAAGTGGGAGTATGCCAACAGGCCATTAGTTTCTTTGAGTGTGCAAGATGCTGGCTGATAAACAATAGGTGCAGATATCCTTCCAAGATTTCCAGTAGGTTATAAGACTCATCAGCTTGTGTGGAGATGCTCTTCCATGAAGAAGTCTGCTGGAATTCATGTAGATGAATGCAGAATGAAAAAGAATTTGCCCTTGATGTTCTTCTGCCTGTAATATGCGCACTATCTGAATGTGTTCAGTCATTTATTCTGATCTGTCTTTTCTTGAAATACCTGCGTCCTTGATGAATATCGTAAGTGGTGGTATTGTTTCTGACATATGAGACAGTTTTTCAGGCTCTTCTGGGTTAGGGTTTGAACCAACCAGGTGCTACCTCAACTCACTAGGAGTTGAAGGGCCTTCACCGATTAGGCATTGTTGTTAGTGTCAGTTTTGCTGTAGAGACAAGTGAATTATGCAGACATCTGACATGTATTATTATTCTATAATTTATTCTATTATAGCTGTGTTTCTACATCTTCGTGGTTATGCTCTAGTGGATTTTATTTCTCTAAACAGAGGTCCTATCATGTACTTTCACTTGAAAATCGCTTTCTTCTTCTTTCATCCATGAATACATCAGGGATGGATTTTATTCCTTGGCTGCTCTGCTCTGAACTCAGGAGAGAGCCCACAGACACCTTGCATCAATTAACCGACAAAATATGGTACCTCTTCAAGTGACTAATAAAGATGCAACAATTGGTGTCTGTTTATAATTTGGAAATGTGTGTGTGAAGGGGGTGGAGGATTCACAGCTTGATTTGTTTTATTTGTGACTCACCTGAACTATAAAATGCTTCTGTGTCTTGACATGACATTCCTTGGATCTCTGCATTTAAAGCAGTTTTGCGAGTTAATGATGAAATGGAACATATTTTTATTTTCTTCTTGTATTCACTGCTTCAGAAGTACACCCCATTTGCACTTGTCTGCTCCAGATAAGCCAAAGAGCTGGCCACCTAACTAACTCCTTCATTGATTGTTCATTATTATAAGCAGTACTGTACACGATCATTAAAACATGCCTCTGGGTGACTCCACTAGAAGTGGTGTATCTAGGTGGCCCAGGATCAGTGTGTGAAATACCTGTTGGCTTCTATGAGGTACAAATGGGCCTCGTGTTGAGGTTGGTAGTAGTAACAATGGTCTGTGGGTCACTTTCATACCATATTGCTTTCATGTGTTTTGTATCTGACTAAAAATATGTAATGAAGGATGGGATTCTCAAAGTCTTGGGGGAAGCAAATGCTCATGTCCATTTGGGTCGCCATACTCTTTGGGTGCCTGATGCCGTGAACACCTTTCAAAATCCCAGCCTCAGTTCTTCCGTTATACTTGAAAACCATGTTCTCAGTCTGACGCTTTCAAATGTAAAAAACCTGTTACTCTGTTCTGATAGTGTGAATGTAAATTCCTGGGAGAATGTGTACAAGCTTTGGGAGCAATGACCTAAATGTATCTACAATAACGTCATGATGTGGTCGTGCTCCAGGAGAAAAGGAACACATGCATCGTCTTTTGAGTATTTCAGTAAAGGTACAACTAGTGGAATGTTTACGTACAGCCTACTGAAACAAGAAGGAGGAGAGAGAAGAAAGATAAAGTGTATAGTATTTAAGTGCAAGATTCTGCTAGTTTTTTATTGTTTTGCAGATGACACTAGCTATTTTTGAAGTTCTGTAAATGTTTATAACTCTTGCAAAGACCAGGCAGAACTACCTGTTCACGTTCAATGTGCCCTGTGCTGAATTGTGCCTATTTCACTCTCTGCTGTTGTTATGCTGCTGATTCTGCTGTTCTGAACTGTTCACTGGATCATTCCATTTGCATGCAACACAAATGCAAGCTGAGCTGTCTGAGAGTAAAGCTGAAACACGTTTGTATAACTTGAATCAATGACTTTCTGTTTTCCACACCCTCTTGAAATGCTGTGTATATTTTTGATTTGTTTCTTCTGCCCAAATTGTTTTCCTCTTTTGTTTTCTTTTGAATGGTAATTTATTTTTGTTCGGATTATAGGCAGTATCTGTACATTTTGTTTCAAGGTGATGTTGTGGACATCTTTAAAAGACAAATTGTTATTTTATATAATTTTATCATAAAATTGCTCTAATAAATCATTCTTTTATCATGTGACAATGATTCTGGATTTTGTGTGTTAATTTTGGGGGGTGTATGTGTTTGGACTAGGTCTGTTTACACTCGTGCTAAGTACAGCATACTGAAAGAATTGTCAACGACTGAAGGCTCACAGTGCAAGTGGGTCTGTCCTGGTGACACCTATTGCTGGGTCAGATCTCTCCCCAAGAGTCCAGGAGTCCCCTTTCCTCTGTACTTACAGGTTGAAGTCCCCATCACCCAAAGGTGGTCTTACTTCTGAGTATAGTATGGTGATATTTGATTTAATTTTTAGTGCTGTTGTATTTCATTGCCGTGATTAACAGTGGTAGCTAAATCCAGCCTGGATATGATAATTCCCCAACATTATTAGACTCTCTCTCTTGCTTTCATCATATATATATTTTTACATATATATGTAGGAGTTTATGTGTCAGTGGAATTCTTTTGATTTTTCGATTCATTCCATCACTGTCCTCCCTCCCTTCTGCAGTCCTGTCTGACCTTCCTGGTACTTTTGAAAAATAACATTAATTCCTTCTTCCCCTTTGCAAAGCCTTCAGGTACCTGCAACCTCCCCCATCCTGCTCAGTGCTGTTTGGGACTCTGCCTCCATGTTCTCTGCAGTAGCACACCTTCTACAGGGCACAGAGCATGTGTAGCTGATAAAACTATTGCATTGCTTGCCAGCAATAACTAAACCATGCACAGACACACAAAAATTCTTCCTCTCAGAAGGCTTGCTTAAGCTTGGTTTGTGTATGCTGTGTCTGCAGAGGGGGTTTTCTGTGTTCTCTAACATTCAGGGCTAGTCACACACTATATTACTTTTCCACAGGCTTCCCCAGCCACACTGAGTGGTATTTGAGTTAGGATGCTATGTGAAGTGCCCTTTTGAAATCAATAGTGCATCCACTTCATTAATTTTTAATGGACTGAATAAATATAAGAGGCAGTGGAACTGTGTCCAAAACTGCTCGCAGTGTAATGAAAGCTGCTATCTGGCACAATTTAAAAAACAAAGGACAGATGGCAAAAGTGCATCTTCCTACTGAGTGTTCAGCTGCAGTCCTGCCTGGCTTTTCAACATCCTCATCTGCTTTGGGAAATAGAGCCAGGTTTTCCACGTGTGTATAAAAGGGAACACCAGAAAGAATTGCCTTGAGCAGGGTTTGCAGGACCCTTCCTTGGAGCAAATCTTTCAGTCAGTGGCGAGGCAGGTTCTCAGTTTTTGATACTCTGTGAAGGTTTACCACTAGACCCTCCTCTACTGTGTCCTGCCCGTGGAATGGTGTGAGAGGACTGTGCCTTTTTTCAACACTGGCATTTGTGGACTGCTCAAGAGCAAAGCTGTGGTACCCTCTGCCCTCACCTGTTTCTGATGCAATGAGGTTGATGTGGGGCCACAGTGGGAGTTTTGGCTGGGGTGGTGGGTTGCTTTCCTTAGCAGGGGCACAAGCATTTGGATGCAGCCCTGCAGAAGCTTGGAGCACCTGCACAAATAAGCACACCTGATGCGGTTATCTAGAAAAGCTGCCTGAGTCTCCTGATGATGTGGGCTGAGCAAGGAAAGGCAAGAAAAATGAACCTAAGAAACTAGTACTCACTAGGACTTGCTTTCTGTCTCCTAAACAGAAATCACTGAAAATACTTTACTGGCCAAAAGAACTGTCACCAGAAAAGATTTGTTCAACAGTAACACTTCTGCCTCTGTCTACATCCAACTCAACAGGAACCACAGGCAGTAATAAAAAGAACCCAAACCCATAATGTGGCATCCACATGGGGACATGTTGTAGACAAGATCCAGAGACAGAGGTGAAATTCAGCCTCAGCAAGAGGATCTGTGGCTTTAGCACAGTGGTAGCCATATATGTACAGCAGGTCACTTCTTTGGTGGTATGTTTCTCTCAGGGAATGGATCTCTCCCCAGCTGCTGATTGCTGGGCAGGTTACCAGACAGTGGATGACAGCAAGAGGATGGAAGGTAACACACCTTGGCCACAGGCAAAGAAAGTAACCTCTCTGTAAGCAACAAAACTGTTCTTCAGGAGGTGAAGATCAGGCATCAGGCCAGTGGTTTCCTGGCCAGATACTTTGCAAATTGGAGTGTAATTTTTGTAGTGCAAAGCCAGATACATTCAAGGCAGACAACACAGATGATGCTTTTCCTAATACCTGCACCAGGAAAAGAAAACTATGCCTGGAGGGCAAGTGCCAGACAAGAAGAGTGACAAGAGTGAGAAGCAAAGGCCTCTCTGCAATCACTTGAGCTATGAAAATCACTGATATTTTTTTATTTTTTTTTACATATATTTTAAGGATGAGAAAATTATTCCAAGTAAGTGTTAAATATTTCAAGTTAAATGTTTCAAGTCTATGGTTAGATACCTTAGTGAATTGATCGGATTTTTTTTTAAGTGGAAATTGAGGAAATATTTTAAAATATTTCCAAACAAAAGAATCATAATTTTGATTTTATTTATGTTCTCTAGGCTTGTCAGCTGAATCACTTCCCAGTTCTTGACCTGAAATGACTTCTTCCCAGCTCATTTGAGTATACAATCTTTTGGCACAAATTATACATGGAGCATTTTTAACTACTCCTGCCTCCCGTCCTTCTGTAACTGTTGGTGTTTGGAGCCCTGCCACCCAGTCCTCATGAAATGGAAAATGTAAATTTGTAGTAATGGCTGCGGTGGTAGCAACGTTTTTGTCTATTATTAGCTCTCGGAGATGAGAACGTGTTAAACTGGCAGTTTCTTCTTAGTAAACCTCCCACGCAGGCATTAAAAGATCTTTCACTGTATTTTTTAGCACACTCTTCTAGCAACCTGAAGTCCAAGCATGCTTTTTAGAGGGTGTAAGTTAATCACAGTGACATCCAGTTGTACGGTGAGAGACGTATTTACTCTCTGTGTGGGGTGGTGGCAAGGCAGCCAGAGCAACTGGTAGAAGGAACCTTGCCTGAGAGATGGGGGAGAAGAGGAATAAAAAAGATTGTTTCTTTGCCCTGAAACTTGCCAGTCTTTTTTTCTTTCCTCTCTCCAGTTGCATGGGTGGGTCAAATAAATCATATTCTCCCCACAAAAGTGCTTCCATCCTTAAACCCTCAAAGCTACAGCACTGCTAGCAGGGTCAGAAATGCGTCACTGATGTTGGGCTGGTAAATGAGATCAGATAAGCAGAAGGAAACCAGGGTTTTGCAGGCTGTAGAGGAGGAGGGAATATGATGAGATTAATCAGTCCTGTAAGTGGTTAGAGAGCTGCCAAGGAGGAGGAGAAATATGGGTCCTTTTTCTGGAAGCTGCTCTTCCCATTGGTGTAACCCAGCCTCTCCCAGTTTGAATTAAACCGATGGTACTGAAGCAATAAATGATAAGTCCTGAACTTCATATAAATGTTCTACTGTTTGTGTGGTACGAGCCTGAACTCGCTGCATCAGTGGGAGCTTTTGTGATTTATGTCAGCATAGTGCATGCCAGGATTTCAGTCCCGTGCATAAACAGAGCAACAAGGCTTGTTGTTAAGCTTCCTGACATGAAACGTTTAGCTGCAATACTTAGTTTGGATGCTCTGCCTCTGAAGTCAATGGAGGGACAGGGACATTTACCCAGAGGCGATCTGAGCCTTTAGCATGGTGGCTCACTGGAATTGCTTTTTTATTCCTGCCTGCAGAGGAAGCCTTAGTGAAGCAGGATCCTTCAGCTTTCAGCTGAATTCTTCAGCTTTCTGGTAACTGGAGTCTACAGGGATGGCAGGAGCCTTTGCCTTGTTTTTAAGCTCTGTTTTAACAGAGATTTGGGATGGCCCCAGTGATTGGTGATCTGTGCGCAGCAGTAAATTCAGGATAGAGGTGGCTGGTCAGGCAGGGATCCTGCTCCACCATCTTCTTTTCTTTCACTTTTGACATCTGAGTTACTGCTTGTGTTTTCATAGAATCATACAGTGGTTTGCGTTGAAGGGACCTTAAAAATCCTCTAGTTCTGCACCCCCTGCCTTGGTGTTCCTTGGTTCCTTTTTCCCCCTTTTTAAAAATAAGGGGTTTAGCCGCAGGGGAAGCAGAGGATTCGTGACACATTCAGCTTCCAGAGAAAGGCCTCTTTCTGCCAGACCTGACTTACCCTCTGGCTCCTTTTAGCTTTTCCATCTTTAGCAGCTTAATATAAAGTATGATAAAGCCTTGTGAACATTATTAGTCCTCAGGTATCTCTCCATTTTTTCTCTCCCTTAGAGCAGGCTTCCTCAGGTACTGGACTAGGGAACTGCACCCTTTGGTTCAATAGGGTGGAGGGACTGCCTGGAGAATTACAACAGCATTGCCATATTGGGTTGCACTGGCTGAAGTGCAGCCTTTGGATTTTTACTGAAGACATAATTCTTAGAAACTGCTTCAAACTCAACATTGCATTTAACTTCCCCTTCAGCAATGTCACTACAAATTCCAAACACCATTTGTTTAAGAGAAAAGCTGTATTATTTCAGCACAGGCAGTTTGCTCCCTTATGTTTGTCCAAGGATGACCGGGTAGGAGAGTGCTTGCAAGAGGAACTGGGTAGGAAGATGGATTTGGAGGGTTGGTTTGTCTGTTTAAAATCAAGCTTCTGGTGGTCTAAGAATGAAGCAGTGAGAATAGTGCCATGTCTGGGATGCAAACTGCACTGAAGCTGAGCAGTCCTTTCAGCTAGTGCCTTCTAGTGCTGATCTAGACTGATCTTAGACACTGGGGCAGTGGGAGCTTAGCCGTTCAACGCAGTTTGGACCAGGTCACAAAGTTACATCAGAGAGGTGAGGATCAGGACCTGGAGCTTAAGAACTGGATCACAACAACTAGATGATTAGATGAACAACCTCACTTGGAGTATTGTGTACATTTCTGGTGTCCTCAACATAAAAAAGACATGGATCTGTTGGAACAAGCCCAGAGGAGGGCCACAAGGATGATCAGGGGACTGGAGCACCTCCTGTATGAAGATCGGCTGAGAAAGTTGGGGCTGTTCAGCCTGGAGAAGAGAAGGCTGCAT